ATTTGCAGAGAACACCTTTGATGGCTGAGACCCGAGGTGGGGGTTAGCGAAGCCCTTGGAGGGTGACCATGTGCACTTCGGAACGTGGGTACCAGTGAGGGGCCAGTGAGTGACTCACGGCCTCCTGACTCTCTCCTCTTGCAGTTTGCACTGGGGTTCACTGCCGCCCATCTGGAGGGCGTGGAGCTGAAGCACATGGGACAGCAGCTGGTGGGCCAGTACCCAATCCACTTCCACCTGGCGGGGGACGTGGACGAGAAGGGAGGCTATGACCCGCCCACCTATGTCAGGGACCTCTCCATCCATCACACCTTCTCTCGCTGTGTCACCGTCCACGGCTCCAATGGCCTGTTGGTAAGCACCCCTTCCCAGGGAGGCAAAGGGTCTAGAGCGCCCTCACCCCCTCCCACCATGCCAGCCAGCTCGGGGCCATGCCGCTGGAAGCATGTTTGACTCCAGTCAGTTGGTCCAGGGCCAGCGGGGGCTGAACCATCCTTAGCTCAGATCTCAGAATGATCTCAGCTCACAGCAGGCTCTGAAGCAAAGAGGAAGGAGAAAACAGGGCGCGTCTTCGCCACAGGGCACCAAGCTGCAGGCTGGGTGGTCACTGGGGCAGTTCCTGCTGCACCTCCTCACAGGGACGGTAAATCGGGGAGCATCTGTGACCTTGTGGCGTGACAGGTCTGCTGGCTGCAGGCGGGGACCGTACAAGACTGTGCTGGGGTGTGTGCTCGGCAGACTGTAGCCTCAGCAATGGAGGAGTGTCCCTCCGAGCAGGTGCGGCGGGAGAAGGGTCTTCATTAGGAAGTTGGCCTGTGTGTCATATGCTTGTCTTGATTTGCACAGATAATCTTTACACTAAACGGATCCATTTTTAAATAAACTAACTTATATGCCCTATAAACTTTTGAAAGTGGATGTTTGTTACAAAATGGCACCCTGCAAGCCGACTCCAGCCTCTGTTTGTTTTGGCTTATACAGTGTTTAGAGAAACATTTGATCATTTTTACACTAAACTGATAATTTCACACTAAATTGAACTTCCTCTAAATGGACTAAACTTACATCCTCTATGAACCTTAAAACCGGATGTCACAAAATGGCACCCTGCAAGCTGCATCCAGTGACCAGATGTGTTTTGTTTGGCTTAAATGGTGTTTAAAGAAACATTTGAATTAGTTTCCATCACTTAAAAATTAAGAGATTTCACATAAAAATCTGGATTCCTGGCTTCTCTTGGAACGTGGGCTGAGTTGGCAGCACCAGACCCAATTCCTGCCTGGCAGCAGTGGACTAGGGCAGAGTCACCGCTGCCCCACTAAGTCGGGCCTGTGTTCTTGGGTGTCCCTCTTGTCCACCACGTCCTGGGTGAATGCCCCAGGCNTGCTGAGGGCGGCCAGGAAGCTTCCGCTGAAAAGGAGCCGTTGGAGCTGGACCTTGAAGGACAAGGTGATTGCCACGTGGACAGGGTGGAGAAGGCTGTCCCAGACGGAGGGAGCAGCTTAGATAAAAGCGCTGAGAAGTAAAGTAGCAAAGTCTTGTTCAGGGAACAATGGGCGGTCTGGTCTCCTGGCTCCTGAGCTGGAGACCATCTGCTGACTACACTCCTTGCGAAGGGGACCCTGCCACCGGACCTTAAAACTGAAAAGCCATGTGGCCCTGTGACCCACACCAGAAACCGCAGTGGAATGCACTGGAGGCCCGGCGTTCTGCTAACTTGTTTGAGCCTCTCCTCTGGTCGGTGTCCGACCCTGAGTGAAACCGAAGGCCTGATAGCCGCCCCCAACGTGGCATCCACCCCTCACCCCCACACCGTTGGCGTCAGAGATCTCAGGGGATAAGAGTAAATCACAGTAAATAGACTCTGTGTAAAGTCAACTTTTTAACACCTGAGGCTTTTTTAAAGAAGGACTCTGGTAGCCTGACTAATGCCCCCAAAGACGCCAATGTCCTAATTGGCAGGACCTGCGGGTTTGTCACTTTACACTGCAAAAGGGACTTTGCAGGTGGGATTACGACGCTATGCTGGTGAGGTGGGAGATTATCTGGGATTATCTGCTGGGCCGATGGAATCACAGGGTCCTTACAAGAGGAAGGCAAGAGGGTCAGAGTCGGAGGAGACAGTGACATGATGACAAGCAGATTAGAGTGATGCACCTTGAGGGTGGAGGAGGGGGCCACCTGTCAAGGATCACAGGTGCCGTGAGAATCGGATTGTCCCCTGAGCTTCCCAGGGACCCAGCCCTGCCCACATCGAGACTGCCGGCCCAGCGAGGCTGACTTTGGATTTCTGCCGTCCAGGACTGTGAGAATAGAAATTTCTGTTGTAAGCCACTGGATTGATGGTAATTCCAGCAGCCCCAGGAAGCTGGTGCTGATCCACAGAGGGTATATCTGGATTCGCCGTGAGCCAGTTTCACGTCTTGAACTAAGATGCTTCCAGGAAACCTCCATCTCCCTGAGTCTGCAGAATTCCGAAATGATCACCGTCCTTAGAAATACTGCAGGCCTTCCACAGGGTGTGTGTGGGTGATGGGCAGGAAGGGGAGCCAGCTCCTCCCTGGATGGTCGCCGTTGGCTGAGGGCTGGTGGGAAGCGGGCCTTTGCCCTCCGCCCTGGCGGGGGTCCCCTGCTCCGTGAGGTGTGTGCTGGGTTGCCCAGGTCAAGGTCACCGTGAAAGCCAAGTGCTGTTTGTGGAGTGGCTCAGCCTGCGGATGGATATACACGAGACGTTGTTGCTTCCTGTAATACCATCCTCAACTGGGAGGGAANATTTTGCTCATCTCTAAAAGAAAATTATAAGATTGTGTAGGATTTAAGCAAGAGTAAAAGGTGTCAGAGCCCAACCCAGGGCCCGGACAGGAAGGGTCCTAGTTCTGGATGTTTCCAGAGCATGGCTGCCTGGGACTTGGGGAGCAAGCAGGCTTTGTTGTACAGAAGCCAGGAGGCATCTGGGGTGCCTCCTAGATTAATGCTTCTTGATCAGGGACAGTTTTGTCACCTGCTCCCTTCCCAGTGGAATATTGGGCAGTGAATATCCAGAGACATGTTTGGTTGTTACGACGGAGGAAGCTCTGTGGACGCCCAGGGACACTGCTGAACACCCCGCAGTGCCCAGGACGGCCCCTGGACAGGTCAGCGGTGCTGAGGGGGGGTTGTTTTTGGGTGATATACGGATTTCCTGGGGCCTGGCACCATGGTAGGTACATAATAGGTATAAGCTGAACTGATGTCATAGGGGAGCAGAACCGTCCCTTGTTGGGGGACATCATTAGGCAGTCAGGGCCCCGGGGATGAGGATGGGAGATCGCAGTCCAGATAAGGGAGGTGTTTCTTCTACCCTTCCATCCTCACTGTCCCGCTGCGGGCAGGCCACCTAGTGAGGCAGTGCGTGTGTCGTTCTGGGGCGTTCAAGCAGAAGGATGCTGTTTGTCAGGGACGCTTGTCAACAGTCTGGCACAGGGGGGGGGGAGCGGCGGGAGGGCTCAAGGGAGATGCCCTCTGAGAACCTTCTAGTTCTGAGATTGATGAGTTCAGAGACTTCAAATCCAGAAGGGGCCTCAGAGATCATGGAGTTCGAGTCCTTCATTTTCTGGTGGGGAAACTCAGTTGAAGAGGTTGGGAGACTTGTTAAGATCCCCGTCTGGTTGGTGGCACAGCTAAGACTGTGCCCAGGTCTTTCGATGCCTTCAAATGGTGGTCCCTCTTCCCCCACTGATACTGCGATTCCCAGAAGGATACTAAAGGCTGGAGCTGGCAGTCTTTTCTGGTTCCCGGCCCAGGAGTCACGTTGTGGCCTGACGTGCATTGTGAGCTACGAAGCTGGCTTGGCTTCCTGGGCCAGGGCACAGTGAGGGACATCAACACCAGTGTCACTGCAAAGCCCACCTGACCAGGTGAGGCTCTCCTCACCACCTTCCCACGGGGTGTCCTGTGCAACCATCCACATTAAGTCCCGGAAGCTTGCACTTGTGTGTCCTCACCAGAGCAGGCTCACGTGACCTCGTCCAGGGTCTCCTAGGACCCACTTCTAACCTTTCATCCCCTTCCCCACACCGTGGAGCCTCAGCCCTAACTCTTCCGGTGGGAAGAGACTTGAAAGGCACCGTCCCATTCCCAGGCCCAGCCCCTGTGTCAGGCCCACCTCCAAACCCCCAGCGCCCTCACAGGGCTGGTGTATGGCCCATGCTGTTCAGTGTTTGTTGAGGGAATGAATGAGCACATGAATAATTGGACGTTGGGTGAAACGTCCCCCCGTCTTGACCCCTGCAGGTCAAGGACGTTGTGGGCTATAACTCTTTGGGCCACTGCTTCTTCACGGAGGATGGACCAGAGGAACGCAACACCTTTGACCACTGTCTTGGGCTCCTTGTCAAGTCTGGAACCCTCCTTCCCTCCGACCGCGACAGCAAGATGTGCAGGCTGATCACAGAGGACTCATACCCGGGATACATCCCCAAGCCCAGGCAGGACTGCAAGTAAGCCCCTCCACCCCACACCCATGCCCCGTGAGGGTGCTGCGAGCACCCCGGGCTGCAGAGCAGCCGGCAGCCGGGACCCCAGCCCTGAGCTTCCTGCTGCCTCCAGCTCTGCAGAGGGGCTTCTCCTCACTGCTTGCTTCTCAGTCACTCCGTGTGCATCATTCTTGTCCAAAGACAGCCACGGTGCTCGTGCTCTGCCTTTTCCTGATGTCACGTGGTGCTTTGAGGACAGGAATCGGGCTGTCACCTCGGCTCCCAGTGTCTCTGGACGTGACCGAGGCCAAGACGGAGAGAGCACTTCTGAGTCCAGGGCCTCTCCCTCAGAAACGGCTGCTTTCCTGGGTTCTGTGGGCTTACATTTGTTTTGGAGCCCAACTCAGACTTCCCCCACATACTGCCTCTGTCTTTCACATTCTGAGCATGTGACGTGCTTCAGTGCACCACGCTCTGACGAGGACACTGGATTTCAGAGCCACACACCCAGAACCCCCGCAGCCTCTGATAGGAGGCTCTCTGAAGCCATGTTAGAGTGCCTGACATGGGCCGTGTATGAGTGACGCTTTCCATCTCCCCCCCACCCCCAACAGTGCTGTGTCCACCTTTTGGATGGCCAATCCCAACAACAACCTCATAAACTGTGCTGCTGGAGGGTCCGAGGTGAGCAGAAACACCCCTTTTTGGAGGAAAATATATCTGGGGGCTGGGGAACAGGGGGCCATGAATTCCGTGCGCTCTGAGCCCCAGGTCAGGCAGAGAATGAAGAAGGGGTCCGATGCATTGGTTTCAGTGATGGCTGTCACATTGTCACACTGGTGGTCATAGCCAATGAAAGCGAAGCACTTTGTGTGTAATGCTCATCACGAGGCTGAAATGATTGTCACTTAGAACTGCGCCCGGCACATTGATGTTCTAAGCTAAAATGCTTTAGTTCTTGCATTGACCCGACGAGGTTGGTACTGTTACCTTCCATCTGATGGATGGAAACCGAGGCAGGGAGAGCAGACACGCCTGGGGCGCACAGGATGCAGACACGGCATTCTGGGCACGTGGACTCGCTCTCACCCACCCCGCTGCCGTCGCGCCCGTGGGACCCGAGCAGGTCAGTGCCGCCTCTGGGCCTCAGCGTCCATATCTAGAATGAAGGACAAGCTGCGAGCATCATGGAATCCTCCTGTTTTGTGTCAGGAGGAGGAGTTGACGCTGCAGTCTGGCCACGTGGAGCCCATGGCCAACAGAGTAGGACCTGATGATGGGTTTCAGTAGTCAGGGTGGACCCCACAAAAGGCGTTTTCCTCAGACGTTTCATTGGTTCCCGGACGTGTGTTTGGGGGTGGGGGCCTGCTGGGGGAGAGTGCTAGACCCCACCCTGAGTTGGGGCCATTCGGTCACCCCAACCAGAGGGTGAATGGTGCTGAGTCCTGTGGCTTCCCCTTGTGCCCCCCAACAGGAAACTGGATTTTGGTTCATTTTCCACCACGTGCCGACGGGCCCCTCGGAGGGAATGTACTCCCCGGGTTACTCGGAGCACATCCCCCTGGGAAAGTTCCTGAACAACCGAGCACACTCCAACTACCGGGTAAGTCTGTGTGGAACCCCAGTCAGGGTCGTGGACTTGGGAATGGAGCTGGGGAGCGGGGCTGAGACCAGACACACTGCTGGGGGGCAGAGGTGGTCTTGGGCCCTGGGGGGCAGTGTGCACCAGAGCCCCGATGTTAGGGCTGGTCCTCTGGTGCAATCCCTGATGGTGCAGGTGAGGAAACCGAGGCCCAGAGGGGAATGGACACATTCAGGGTCAAATCCAAAACCAAAACCAATAGGCTGAGCCAGGGAGGAGACCAAGAAGGAGAGATGTGTTCTCTGACTAGACCTGCGCTTCCAGCTCGGCCTCGGGGGTGGCGCTGTGAGGGGCCCTGGGCAGGGTGGGCAGAGAGGACCCCAGACAGCGTTGTGTCCCAGAAAGTAGGAAAGAAAAGAGTTTCCCGGGGCAGAGGGCAGAGGTGAGGCGTGCCATAGCGCAGGCCTCAGAGGGGGCATCTCGGAGGCTGTGATGGGCCTTGGGGCGCTGTCGCCATACAGGATGGGGGCGGGGTGGTGCAGGGGAGAGAATGTGCTGGCTGCTCATCAGATCCCTTCCTTGAGAAGACTGCCCATGAGTGGGTGTGGCCGCATGGTACCTGGATGTTTAAAGAGGGTGAAACGGGGGGATATGTGGGGAGGATGCTGTCCCACAAGGAAGTAGGCCAGGGCTCACGGGCACAGGTGGAGGCAGGTGGCAGGAGGGAAGGGAGGGAAGGGACGGTCGAGGAGCCTGCAGCTGGCTTCCGTGTCTGAGCGGAGGAGGCCCGTGCCTGGGGCTCACGCCCGGTAAGCCCGGCTCCACATGGGGCCGGTCCCAGGCCTCCTCCCCGGGCTGTCTCACTTAGGCCTCATGGCCGTCGGCGAGATCAGGGTCATCAGCCCATCTTACCAAGCAGACAGCTGAGGCCTGAGCGGTGAGGGGACTTAGCTCATGAGGGAGGAGCTGGGCGTCCAGCCCCACCTCTGCTGACTCATGTCACACTGCTTCCCTGGAAGTAGCAGGAGAACGCAATAGCCAGAGTGACCTCCAATTAGAAAAGTGGAGAAACCCGGGTTTGGGCCAAGGGATCCAGGAAGGAAGGAACATGGCGTCACCAGGCAGTGGCATGGAGCCGCCCTGCCTCCCACTCAGCCATGGCTGACAAAGTGAAGAAAATGCGGTTCCCTCCTTGAGTCACGTAGGATCCCAGACAAGACCCTGGGCGGGCCACAGAGCCCTGCCGCACGGCGAGGATGAGACTTACAGTCAGCATTTCCTTCGATGCGCTGCAGACACAGTTCCCAGGAAAGCACAGGCATCGCCCTGGAGGTGGGGCCTGGGCCCGTAGCTGCCGCAAGCGGTGTGAGCCCTGGGCATGGACCCAGCTGTGTGGCCTTCACCCCTCTGGACCTCAGTTTCCTCATCTGTACCTCAAAGAGGACATCAGGGACCAGACGAGTGGCTCAGTTGGTTAAGAGCTCGCTCAAGAGTTTGAGCTCTGAGCAACAGCGGTTCGAGTCCCGGCCCGAGCTGAGCAGCCACTGAGCTGCCAACAGGTGGCAGGGTGGCTCAGCTGAAAAAAAAGAGGACATCAGATTGGACCTGGCAGTGCAGAGAACCAAGCGGGTTCTTCACCTCCCTCACCATAGACCCCCTACTTCTGTTAATGCATCCTGAGAAAAAAGTTGGTTTTCCTGGAGCCTGCAGGAGTGAGCACTGCGGCTGGGTGTGAGCTGGTGCCCGGGCTGCAGTGATGCTCACGTGTCCCCGAATGTGCCCTCTCCCCAGGCTGGCATGATCATAGACAACGGCGTCAAAACGACTGAGGCCTCTGCCAAGGACAAACGGCCCTTCCTGTCAATCATCTCTGCCAGGTAATCACCCTCAGGAGCACCACGCTCCATGGCAGCCCCGCCACTCGGCTCCATTCCCTCCAGTCACTCATCCATCAGGGGAGAGCTGAGCGTTTTCTGTGTCCTGCATGGTGAGGACCGTGGTGGAAACCTGGACAGGGCAGGGGCAGAGACTGGCATAGGGCTTAGGGTTTCCGCATCCGCATTGAATTCGGGTTTCAGCCAAAGCCAGCACCTGGTAAATGAACAGGAGTGGCCAGGAGGCTGGGCTGGGATTGGAAGACGAGGAGAAAAGCTGGGGAGAATCTCACCATCAACTTCACAGGCAGGAACATGCAGGCTGTCCCTATAAATAGACCTGGGGCTCAGCCAAAGGCCAGGCTACTTTTGAAAGGTTCTGTTGGAGCCTCAAGGTCATTAGGAAAACCGGTACCCTTTAAAGAGACCAGGTGGCTTGGTCTCTGTCAAGTCAGTAACGCTAGTGACATGATAATGTTCGTGGGAGACGTTTACCAGACCGGACGTCAGCGAGCTTCTGGGCTCAGCGCTCCCTCTGGCAGCCAGGAAGCTGAACCCCACAAAAGGCACTAGGTCAGGGCTCCCCCCAGCTGATGGCGGGCTGGGCATCTCACACGCTCCTCCCTGCCCTTGGCTGCATTGCATGCCAGGCTGGGACTGGCTGTGGGAACCCCCCCCTGAGCTCTGACCCCGCCTGGATGGGGTGCCCCTCAGTGGTTCTGTGAGCAAGGGAGGTGACGTGTGTGTCGCCTACATGGGGCTGGGCCCCAGAAAAGACCTTCTGCATCGAGTTCAGAAGGTGCATCCCCGAGCCAGGTGATGGGAGTCGGCTCCGCTGCGGCAGAGTGTTCCGGGCACTGTGAGCAGAGAGCAGTGAGCACTGTGAGCACAGCCCAGACGGGAGTCAGCTCACGAGTCCCCCTGCCCCTGTGCCCTCCCCGTCCTGTGTTCCAGATACAGCCCTCACCAGGATGCCGACCCGCTGAAGCCCCGGGTGCCGGCCATCATCAAGCACTTCACCGCCTACAAGAACCAGGACCACGGGGCCTGGCTGCGTGGTGGGGACGTGTGGCTGGACAGCTGCCGGTGAGTGGAGAGTTGCGTGGCGTTGGCACAAAGTGAGGATGGCGCAGATGAAGACGTGAGCTCGCATGTAAGGTCCCTGTGGAGAGCCACCAGCCCGCACTGGACAGGGACCCAAAGGGACAGGCAGCTGTGTTGGGATTTGCTAGGAAGGAATATCACGAGATGTCCTCTTGGTCTTTTGTGTTAAAACTGGGAGATCGAAAACTCTGTATCAGAAACGTATTTTCCCGTTTTATTGTGACCACTTAAAGGAGAAATAAAGGTGATAGGGAGTAAAAGGAAGTGAAGGGATGTAAGAGGGAGGGGGAGAGGGAGGAAGGGAGGGGGAGGGAGAGAGAGAGAGAGAGAGAGAGAGAGAGAGAGAGAGAGAAAGATGTTTTAGACACATTGACTTTGACATGCCTGTGAGATATTCGTAGAAACATNTCCAGCTACTATCTATCATCTATCTATCTGTCCTCTATCATCTATCTATCATTTATCTATCATCTATCTTTCTATCTGTCATCTATCTATCATCTCTCATCTATCTATCTATCTATGTATCATCTATCTATCTGTGATTTATCTATCATCTATCTGTCATCTATCATCTATCTATCTACCATTTATCTATCATCTATCTATCTGTCATCTATCATCTATCTATCTCTCTATCTCTCTATCTCTCTATCTGTCATCTATCTATCATCTATCTATCTATCTATCATTTATTTATCATCTATCTATCTACCTACCCATCTATCTATCGATGTCCAGCTGTATCACAGTTTAAGTATTTAACTATGGGAAGTGTTCTCAGGAAGAACAGAGGTGGAATGTTAGAGCTGGAATGGACCTTAGGAGTTACCCTCAGGCACAAGGGCCTTCAGGCAAGTCACACAGCACGTTTGTGGCTGAGCCAGGACTTGAACTCGCCTTCCCCTCCCGACCCAGGGCTCCCTTCTGCCTCGTCATGCTTCTCTTGTCAAGTCTGTGCCAGCCTCGCCCCACTCCTCATGAGGAGAAAGAAATGAACACAAGATGAACGGGTTTTTGTTTTTGTTTTTTTTTTTCCTTTCTGGTGCTTTTGAGAACTGATTAGTTATAAGTTATGAATCAGACAGATGAAGAATCAAGTCTCAAGTCTATCCTTGCAGCGGAAGTGACTTCGGGCAGCCTTCGCAGTCTGTCATCTGTGGGATAATAGTTGCGATAATGATTAAGAGAAATAATGTATATAACACGTTTGACACCCAATAGATGGTAGTTATCTTATTCCTTTCAATGAGGACTTTTCTCCATAGCACGTCTCAAGGGCCTCGGAGGGAATTTCTGTCTCAGGCGTTGGTTAGACTAATAATATACCTAATTCAGTATTCACTTGCATTCAAAGAAGCGTTACCCATAGTGTGATCCAGACAGTGGGCGGTGGGTGCATGGGATTTAGAGAGCTGTGGGCAGGAGGCAGAGGCCTGGGTCTGAGCGTGCCTCCACCAGCAGGCCTGTGAGTGCCATTGGACCCTCCATGTCCCTTCTCCAGTAAAGGCATTGAGCTTGCTCTCACATGTCCCTGCCAGCGCCAGCAGCCGTTTCCTTGCCTCTTCCTCCCATGCCTGTCTGTCTGGACTATTTATAACAAGCGTGCATCACTCACTAGGAGAGTCCCACTGGGTGACCTTGGTATCGACTGCAATGTTTATTGAGGGACTGAACAGGAGTCAAGGTCACGCCCTTGCCTAGCACCAGAGTTGAAGGGAGAGGAGCTTGTTGGAGCTCGCCTAGAACAAAGCAGCTTGTGTGTTTGTTCCTCCCTTCTGGGGTGAAGGGCACAATTAGAGAACTGGGGCTCCAGCCTTGGTTCTCCGACATGGATTGTATGACCTTGGGCAAATCACTTCCAGTCTTATTTTGCTCATCTCTAAAAGAAAATTATAAGATTGTGTAGGATTTAAGCAAGAGTAAAAGGTGTCAGAGCCCAACCCAGGGCCCGGACAGGAAGGGTCCTAGTTCTGGATGTTTCCAGAGCATGGCTGCCTGGGACTTGGGGAGCAAGCAGGCTTTGTTGTACAGAAGCCAGGAGGCATCTGGGGTGCCTCCTAGATTAATGCTTCTTGATCAGGGACAGTTTTGTCACCCGCTCCCTTCCCAGTGGAATATTGGGCAGTGAATGTCCAGAGACATGTTTGGTTGTTACGACGGAGGAAGCTCTGTGGACGCCCAGGGACACTGCTGAACACCCCGCAGTGCCCAGGATGGCCCCTGGACAGGTCAGCGGTGCTGAGGGGGGGTTGTTTTTGGGTGATATACGGATTTCCTGGGGCCTGGCACCATGGTAGGTACATAATAGGTATAAGCTGAACTGATGTCATAGGGGAGCAGAACCGTCCCTTGTTGGGGGACATCATTAGGCAGTCAGGGCCCCGGGGATGAGGATGGGAGATCGCAGTCCAGATAAGGGAGGTGTTTCTTCTACCCTTCCATCCTCACTGTCCCGCTGCGGGCAGGCCACCTAGTGAGGCAGCGCGTGTGTCGTTCTGGGGCGTTCAAGCAGAAGGATGTTGTTTGTCAGGGACGCTTGTCAACAGTCTGGCACAGGGGGGGGGGAGCGGCGGGAGGGCTCAAGGGAGATGCCCTCTGAGAACCTTCTAGTTCTGAGATTGATGAGTTCAGAGACTTCAAATCCAGAAGGGGCCTCAGAGATCATGGAGTTCGAGTCCTTCATTTTCTGGTGGGGAAACTCAGTTGAAGAGGTTGGGAGACTTGTTAAGATCCCCGTCTGGTTGGTGGCACAGCTAAGACTGTGCCCAGGTCTTTCGATGCCTTCAAATGGTGGTCCCTCTTCCCCCACTGATACTGCGATTCCCAGAAGGATACTAAAGGCTGGAGCTGGCAGTCTTTTCTGGTTCCCGGCCCAGGAGTCACGTTGTGGCCTGACGTGCATTGTGAGCTACGAAGCTGGCTTGGCTTCCTGGGCCAGGGCACAGTGAGGGACATCAACACCAGTGTCACTGCAAAGCCCACCTGACCAGGTGAGGCTCTCCTCACCACCTTCCCACGGGGTGTCCTGTGCAACCATCCACATTAAGTCCCGGAAGCTTGCACTTGTGTGTCCTCACCAGAGCAGGCTCACGTGACCTCGTCCAGGGTCTCCTAGGACCCACTTCTAACCTTTCGTCCCCTTCCCCACACTGTGGAGCCTCAGCCCTAACTCTTCCGGTGGGAAGAGACTTGAAAGGCACCGTCCCATTCCCAGGCCCAGCCCCTGTGTCAGGCCCACCTCCAAACCCCCAGCGCCCTCACAGGGCTGGTGTATGGCCCATGCTGTTCAGTGTTTGTTGAGGGAATGAATGAGCACATGAATAATTGGACGTTGGGTGAAACGTCCCCCCGTCTTGACCCCTGCAGGTCAAGGACGTTGTGGGCTATAACTCTTTGGGCCACTGCTTCTTCACGGAGGATGGACCAGAGGAACGCAACACCTTTGACCACTGTCTTGGGCTCCTTGTCAAGTCTGGAACCCTCCTTCCCTCCGACCGCGACAGCAAGATGTGCAGGCTGATCACAGAGGACTCATACCCGGGATACATCCCCAAGCCCAGGCAGGACTGCAAGTAAGCCCCTCCACCCCACACCCATGCCCCGTGAGGGTGCTGCGAGCACCCCGGGCTGCAGAGCAGCCGGCAGCCGGGACCCCAGCCCTGAGCTTCCTGCTGCCTCCAGCTCTGCAGAGGGGCTTCTCCTCACTGCTTGCTTCTCAGTCNGGGGGGGGGGGGGGGGGCTGTCATGATGAGGGCAACGCAGAGTGGGGTGCAGACTCTTTTCTGCTGTTCCATGCGGCTCCATAGAGGCACCCAGAGCCTGGCCAGCGCCTCCCATCTGGGCTTTGCAGAAAATCAGGTTGTAGGCACACCCACATGAGGCTGAGGAAAGAGGGACACAGACTTAGCTACTATAGCGGAATATGGATTTGCCCTGCTTTAGAGCACTAGCTTTAGAGAGGGGGGGATCGTTTTATGTCCCTAAGGTCCCCAGCTGGTCGGCAGTCTGGGCATAAGCTCTGTGGGGTCGTCCGAGCCCAGGTTTCCCTCACTCGTTGCTCCGCCATCTCTAGGCCTGACCTCACAGCCCTGGGGGAGGCTGGCCCACCCCCCCCCCACATCTGCATCCCAGCCCTGAAAGTGCCGTCCTCTGGCCACAGCGACTGCAGGGTGGCTCTCCTGGCGAGCCACGTGTCAGCTGAAACACAGGATATGCTAGTACCAGAAAGTGGATGGGGGCAGAGATACTGGGGGCAAGTAGCCGTGTTTGCCGCAGGCTTCAGACCTGAGCCTGCATGGCCGTGAACCCTGGGTCCTCGTTCAGACAGGTCAACCCACCTCCCTGAGCCTCATTCCTTCCGAGAAATGGGACCAGGGTCCCTGGGACCACCGTGCGCGCAGGGGGTGGTGGCACCTAAGTGGCAGCTGGGAGGCCCCTGCAGGGATGCCCTGACCCCCGCCTCCCCTCCCGCCCCAGGGAAGCCGATGTATCTGCACGTCGGGGAGGAGATCGACGGTGTGGACATGCGGGCCGAGGTCGGGCTCCTGAGCCGCAACATCGTGGTCATGGGGGAGATGGAGGCTGGCTGCTACCCCTACAGCAACCACGTCTGCAGCTTCTTTGACTTCGACACCTTTGGGGGCCACATCAAGGTATGGGTCTGCCTGGCGGAGGCTGCCAGCCCACCCAGGAGAGTTCCCGCGGGGCCGCCTGTGGGCGGGATTCCGGGTGGGCAAGGGGGTAGAGGGGCAGGGGGCACCAAGGCAAGAGGACCTACTGGAAGTTGGAGGAGAGAAGGCCTATGTATCGCCCGCTGGGTGCTGCCCCCCCCCCCACCTCCCGGTCAGTGCTTGGGAGCAGGAGACGTGATGGAGTCAACCTGGGGACTGCTCCCTCGTCCCCGGTCACAGGGCACACACCGCGCTGCACTCCCTCCCTTCACGATTTCCAGCCCAGCCCATGGCTCTCCCTTTCCTCATTATTTAACCCCGATCCCTTCCTGAAACAACTGACACTGAACTCACACAAAGTCTTATGTGCAGTCGATCCATTAAAATACAGAGATACGTGATAAGCAGGGAGAAGACTTGAAGNAGAGAGAGAGAGAGAGAGAGAGAGAGAGAGAGAGAGAGAGAGAGAGAAAGATGTTTTAGACACATTGACTTTGACATGCCTGTGAGATATTCGTAGAAACATCCCAGGTTTGGGGCGAGCAGGTGGGAAGGAAGAGTGGCTGATTATAGCATCGCCGGCAGCCCTGTGGGAGTGGAAGCCGTGCGTCTCTGACGTCCCCAGAGACTGACTCAGTGGAGGAGGAGAGGGCCCTGGGCAGAGCACTGGGGGGCGGCAGTGATGGGGAGAACCTGGGAAGGGCCTGGGAACAGGAATCAGGACGTTTGGGGAAAGGACTAGAGAGCACAGGGCCGGAAGATGGGCCTTGAGTGATTGGCTGGCACTGGACGGGCTTCAGACAGGGAGACGTGCACATCCCGGAGGCGGGGGACCGGCTGAGCCGCAGCCAACCGGGAGCTGGTGGGGCTGACACCGGCAGAGCGAAAGGGCTTCAACGGCCTGAAAGCACGTGGCCAGGGATTTGGGCTTGGGTTTATGGGGGATGTGAAGTCACTGGAGTTTGGGAAGTACTCGAGGTCACCACCTGGCAGGGTGTCCGTGGCAGGTGGAAGGAAGAACCAGGGACAGGAAGGCGGCCACCGTATTTGGCCTTCGGGTCCGTGGCAGCGCAGACCTAAGGCCTAGCTCAAATGCTGTGCCGTCTCCTGTCGCTCACAGGCAGCCTCCCGTCAGAATGTTCCCCCTGAGCCTCAGAGGGGAGCTGGCGGCATGGCCACAGTGTAACTGCAAAACGCCGTCCTGCCCAGCTCAGGGCCAGTGCCGGCCTGACCGCCAGGAAACTCAGCTTCCTCTTTGTCCTTCTTGCTGTGGCTGAAGTAGGAGTGAGGATGCTCAGGGGAGGCGGGCTGCACGCACAGACCCTGCCTGGACCCGGTGCCCGCCTGAGTGTGGCAGGGCCCTTCAGTCCCCCGTCCAGCCTCCCACTAAGCCCTGGAATCACGTGGGGGCGGCTGGAGATGGAGCCATGCCCAGGGAGCCCGGTCGCACACTGCCAGCGCAGTGGGGCACCGGATGCCGAGAGCCACTGTGGTCACCCTTTGCTCTTTGAGCACAGACGCTGAGCGGGAGGGACCTAAACTATCTCATCACGCACAACAGGGGAGCCCCGGCATCCTGAACAAACCCTGTGCCTATTATGTAGAGACTCCACCCCACAGTGTCTGCAGTGTGGCACCAGGGCACAGAAGGGCCCTTCCCTCCATAACGTTGCTGCATGTGGAGCAGAAGCACGCTCTGACTGTCTGCTCTTGTCCCCAGGTTTGCCGACAATGGCATCGGCCTGACCCTGGCCAGGTAAGAGCAGCCACCGTTGTGCTGGGCCCTCGGGGGAGGTGTCTCTGGACCTCTCATCCCAGACCTCTTCTCTCTGCAGTGGTGGAACCTTCCCGTATGACGATGGCTCCAAGCAGGAAATAAAGAACAGCCTGTTTGTTGGCGAGAGTGGCAATGTGGGGACAGAGACGATGGACGGCAGGGTCTGGGGCCCCGGCGGCTCGGACCACAGCGGGAGGACTCTCCCTATAGGCCGGTAGGTCTGCGGCGTAGGCGGCTCCCTTGTTGTGTGTGGCTTTGCCTGAGCGGCAGTGTGGGAAGGAACAAGGCCAGCTGCTCGCTTCTACCTGCTGATTGTGAATTCCTCTGTCCAGAGGAGTCAGAGGAGTCGCCGACACCACTGAGATGACCCCGCAGCGGGTGAAATCCAGGGTGTGAGAGAGCAGTCAGTCTGGCCACCGAGTTGAAGGGGGGTCAGCAGGGCGACATGGCGTTGTGTGATTCTGGGCTACGCCGACGGGAGTTTAGTCAGGACCAGCGACCGTGGCTTCCTCTGTCCTCTGAGAGCTCCCCTACTCGGAGCATGTCACCCCCTTCTGAGGACGCTAGAGAGACAGAGTCAGGCCCAAGCGAACTTAAAGCAGAGCAACCAGGAGGGTGGCACAACCCCCAGCCGCATCATGTGCAGACTGGGTTCTTCAACAAGAGGTGGGCTCCCAACTGGGAACCGCATGTCAGATGCTGTCACATTGTCAGGGCTCTCGTATGCAGACAAGACGACACTCATTCTGGCTGGGCCCTAAGGGTTAGAATTGGTTTAGTTCGGGAAGGAATTTTCTAGCAGTCAGGTTTGTTCCACCACAGAGTAGCAGGGCTGTCCGGAGGGTCCCGGGCTCTATGTTGCAGGAGGAGTTCAGACAAAGGGTGGGTGACCAGTATGTGGCTGGAGAGGGAGAGGCCTTGGAGAGGTGAGGAGCTAGCACAGCACCTGGGCTCAGTCAGCTCCTCGGAAGGCCCCAGCCTGGGTCAGTGGCAAGAAACTCTGCCTTCTGGTGGCGTTCCTGCTCAGACGCAAATGCAGGCCAGAGCGCGAGGCTCTGAGTCAGCTGGCAGCACGGGGGCCCTGCCTCCGGGTGCTAAGACCAGCCCTTTCTGCCCCCCGAGCTTTCTTCTCTTTCTCTAGGAAAATATCATTCCTGCCTTGATACACAGGACACAGGCTTAAACTCTCACCCCAAGTGGCTGTGTGTGTTTGAAAAGATTTTGCAGACAGAACCCCAGTCTCCTTGGCACAAGCTGTTGAGAGCCCTCGTTTCTTTATAACCTCAGTGACATAGCGGTCCCTTCAGGCCGCTTTTAGGAGCAACTCTGGGTGTGCAGAGCTGGGTTCTCTTTGCTGAGTTTTCCCAGCCGCCCAGGCCTGGGATGCTGTGATGGCTTCCAGAGATGAGTTTGTTTATGGCAGTCTGACAACTATCAGACTCAGGCGGGGCCTCAAACTGCATTTTTGAGCAGGAACCCAGGACTGTGCAGTCCTAATCGTGGGTGCAGTCCCGTCTGGGCCTGGGCTGGGGTGTGAAGGTAAAGTAAGCACACAGTCTAACTATAGAGCTCGTGAGCATGGGCTGTCCCCAAAATGCCTTAAATGGAGAGATGCACGGAGCCAGCCTGTAAGAATCAGGACTCAGGATCACAACGTTAATCTGTCACTGTGTAACACACAGAAACACAGGAAGTCCTTGATGTCCACTGAGGGCACATTGCTGAGACTGGTGACAGGGGCTTCCTCAGGGACCGTGTCTGAACGGAGGGGAGCCCAGGGTGAAGCCCTCTTCTGGGTTCTTTTTCTTCTTTCTGTCCTTTCCTATGTTCACTGCGGGTGGAGAGGGCCCTGGCCCAGAGGCAGAGATACCAGTCAAAGCAGGAAAATTGGGCTTGGAGAACAGCAAGCCTAGATTTGGGGCCTGGCCCAAGAAAGGCCACCAGCAAGCCCCACGGGCCCCTCTGAGGCCCTTGCCTCCCACGCCCACTCCCGAGTCTGAAGCAAATGGGACAAGCATCTCTGGTCACCCTGCCCCCTGCTGGGCCCAAGGCAAAATTTCCAAGTCACCAGTCCCTCCATCAGGGACTGTTGCCTCCCGCTGCGCTCTCTCCCTGTGTCCTGGCTATCGGGGCCTTCTGGAGGGCCTCTGGCAGTGCACAGTCCTGCCCTCTCTGCGCTGTTCCCCAAAGGCAGCGTGCTCCCAATCGAAAGGCTTAGTTACAAAGAGGAAATGCATCTGTGTCTTAATCTGATTAAATTGTTATAGCAACTAAGGCTGTTGGTAATGACTAAAGGCTCTCCCTCTCAAGGGACACAGTATTGGCACTCTCCAGTAGTATTTATGGTATTTACCCAATGACTCTTCATGGGAAAGAAAAATTGGGGGAATTGATAGGCAGATGGATTGAATAGAGGACCATTCCCCAAACCTCAAGTCAGCAACTAGACAGATACTCATTTATACATCCATCTGTCCATCCATCCATCCATCCGTCCATCTATCCATCCATCCATCTATCCATCCATCCATCCATCCATCCATCCATCCATCCATCTATCCATCCATCCATCTATCCATCCATCCATCCATCCATCCATCCATCCATCCATCCATCCATCCATCCAATAATTCATCCAGCGATCCTTTATTGGCATATACTGTGTTCATAAATGCTTTCTGAGTGAATTAATGAATGAGTCAACAATGTTTTGCAGAGGGGAGAGTCACTGGGGTGGGCATGAGGAATGGCTGCCCTCCACCTTGGAGGTGCAAACAACATGGCGGCACGACGCGGTGAGCGCCCTGGCGTCTGACTTCCCTGACCCCGCAGGAATTTCCCCATCCGAGGAGTTCAGTTCTACGATGGCCCCATCAACATTCAGAACTGCACCTTCCGGAAGTTTGCTGCCCTGGAGGGCCGGCACACCAGCGCCCTGGCCTTCCGTCTGAACAACGCCTGGCAGAGCTGCCCCCATAACAACGTGACCAACATCGCCTTTGAGGACGTCCCGGTGAGTGAGGCGCCAGGGCAGGCTCCCGGCAAGCCCAGACTGGGCGGTGAGTCACAGGTCCCCGGGGCTGGAGCTTGAGCCATTGCCACCACCACAGGGGTTGAAAGGCCGCCTCTGAGCGGGCTGGGCCCTGTCCCAATTCTGTCTGCATCCAAACTGGAAAAGTACAGCCTGGGTTGCCCCCCAGGTCAGGCCTGGGGAGATGCCTGCTTGCCCTCCGCCTGCTCAGAGGCCGCCCGGGCCTCAGCGGGAGCCTCACCGTACTCAAAGTCCTGAGGCTGTTTCTCCAAGCCTCTTGTCTTTGACCTATGAGTCTTGTGACCCGGCTACCTGAGTTGGCACGGCTACATTAAAAACCTGCGGCTTCTAAGGGAGACTTTGCTGAGGCTGCCCGGTTCGGTCTGTCCCTGAGAGTGGGGCATAAACGGGGCCCCCTGGCCATGGACAGCCGGCAGGTTAGCAGCTGGGGGTAAGGAGGTTGGGAAAACAGCCAGGGCCAGACCCCAGTGCGTTTTCTTCCAGTTCCTCCTCCCTCTGCCCCTGCCCTTTGCCTGTCTGCCCAGTTATGGCGGGCTGAGGGGAAGGATGTGAGACTTAAGTTACCTAATCCCTTTACTCAGGCCACTGACGGCCTGAGCGAGGCCAGTCATGGAAGTCTCCAGGGGCTCATGTTGAAAAACCGTCTTCCTGAAACACACCACCCACTCACACATGGCCCCCTCCCCGCTGTGCCTGCACGCTCACGCAGACATGCACCTCCACCTCAGGCCCATTCTCTCTCACACCCGTGTCCCCCCGCCCGTCTCTGCGGTCCTTTGAGCCCGGGGATAAGAGCATTCTCCAGCTCACCCGTAGAAGCCAGCCCTCCCGAGAGCAGAGGCCAGAATACCATTCAGGGTCTGGGAGTGTGAGCGTGGTGACCATGTGGCTGTTTTTCTGGCCCCATCTGAGGGGTCAGCCATGCAGTTTCCCCAGCGCCCGAGAGCCTCTTGGGCTTGGCTGGTGTGTAATGTCAGCGGAAATTGGAAACTTCGCCCTGGCCTGACGGTGGCCACAGTTCCCCTTCACCTCCTGGCCCAGCCTGACTTTCCTGGGCTCTGTTTAGATTACTTCCAGAGTGTTCTTCGGGGAGCCTGGGCCCTGGTTCAACCAGCTGGACATGGATGGGGACAAGACATCGGTGTTCCACGATGTGGACGGCTCGGTGTCCGAGTACCCCGGCTCCTACCTCACCAAGGCCGACAACTGGCTGGTCCGGCACCCAGACTGCGTCGACGTTCCCGACTGGAGAGGGGCCATCTGCAGCGGGCGCTATGCTCAGGTGGGGGCGCGAGGGCATGGCTTCCTGGGGTCCCTGGTCACTCACCACATGACAGGCATGGAAGGAGTGCCTACTGCGCGCCTGGCTCTGTGCCGGGCTAGGAAGAGATAGGCTTCTGTATTCCTTTCCTTTCACTCTTGTTACTTTTCCTCCTCTCCCAGTAGGATTTTTGAAAAGTCAAAGTGCAAACATTTTGTAAGCAGAATGCTTACCAAATCAAAGAGAGCAGTCGCTCTGAGGTCCCCTATGTGGATGCACGTCAGGCTCCAGCACTAACGGTGTGAGGAGCCTCGGTTTCCTCATCTGTAAATTCGGGATAGTACTCGGACCTCCTTAATGAGATGGGGGCGGGTTCACATAAGGCACTGCCCCAGTCACTGGAAATAGGATGTCAGCCACACATGAGCTCTTACATGTTCCCGCAGCCACGTTAAAAAGGAAGACAGGTGAGATTAACCTTGGTACATTTCATTTAACTCAATATACTGAAAATACCATCACCTCAACATGTGATCAATATAAAAACCCATTAACGAGACACTTTATTCATATTTTTTCCTGTTCTAAGTCTTTGAAATCCACTGCATATTTATTCTCATCACCACTTAATTTACATGTAAAGTTTTTTGTTTTGTTTTGTTTCTATTTATTTATTTATTTATTTTAAGCTGAGCCATCCTGCTACCTGTTGGCAGCTCAGCGGCTGCTCAACTGGGGCTGGACTCGAACCGCTGTTGCTCAGAGCTCAAACTCTTGAGCGAGCTCTTAACCAACTGAGCCACTCGGCCGGCCCTACATGTAAAGTTTTGACAAAGTCAAAGCTAGCCCTATCGAAACAAAGTTGTGTTTAATGGAAAAATATTTTGCATGGCTTTTTTTTTTTTTTACATTTACATTTTGATTGAGATAAAATTTAAAATTCAGGTCCTCAGCCACACTGGCCACAGTTCCAGTGCTTATTGGCTGCAGGTGGCCGGTGGCCATGGTATGGGCCTGTGCAGGCTTAGGCAGTGTCTGGAACGTGGTTGCTCTCACTGTATCATGGGTCCTGTTATCATCTGGATGAATGACTGATGAGTAAATGAGAAAGAGGGGAGAGGCCCAAGGGGGCGGGACATGGGCAAACGGAGTTGTCCTCACAGCATCAGCCTTGTGCCTCCAGGACTCAGGGTGTTAGAAACGAGCTAAAAGGTGGTTTGGGGCGACACAGGAAAGGGTGGGTGGTTAGACCTGGCCAGGTTATCGTAACGGGCTACTGCGTAATTAGTATTATTAATCTCCTCCCTTTGCTTTACAGCTTACAAATGCTTGAATATACTTTTAAATGTTTGACACACGGGACTGCTCCCTGCGATGGGCGGGGCTGAAGTTTCTTTCTATTGGGTTGTTGGAAAAGTCATGACGTATTTTTTTCTGTTTTTCGTTGCAAAAATGTGTCATGACTTTTCCGTCAGCCCAATATTTTATATTTCACATGCTTTACAGCTGGAGGGGACGATCACCCCTTCCTTCCAAAGGCACATTATTGCACATTGATGTGATGGTCTCTCTCGGCCACAACTGCCAGGATGTCGCCTTATGAATATGGGATATGTCATAAAACAGGACATGGTGTTTTAGCATGGAGCTTTTTTGGGTCCCTGGGACTCAGTGGCTGACAGTTGGCTGTCAATTTTTTCTCTGGAGTGAGATTCCACTCATCTACCCAGTATGCACTGGCACCCCCATGAACTGGCCGCGGGGACCAGACCCTGAGAACCAGAGGGGGCACAGGCCAGCTCCCCCAGGCTCGCCCCCTCCTGTCTTCAGAATTTGCCATCTGACTATTCAGCAAACTGCTCCCCACTTTCCACCGGTGTCTCCTCAACAGAGCACTTTTCTGAAGATGCACAGAGAGCATTGGCTGGTGTGGGCTGCCTCCATCGGTGCAGAGACAGGCCCTTATTTGGCCTTTCTTCCATTCGTGTCTTCTCAGAAGGGCTCTGTTAAGAGAAAGTGCCACTGAACGTGCAGCCTGTGTCAGATGCTAACCAGACGCTCCTCGATAATCCCTTGTAATTGCCCGTCGTGTGTTTCCTTTCTGGGTTGTAAAGATGTACATCCAGGCCTACAAGACGAGCAACCTGCGCATGAAGATCATCAAGAATGACTTCCCCGGCCACCCCCTGCAGCTGGAGGGCGCCCTGACCAGGAACGCGCACTACCAGCAGTACCAGCCGGTCATCACCCTGCACAAGGGCTACACCATCCACTGGGACCACACGGCCCCCGCCGAGCTCGCCATCTGGCTCATCAACTTCAACAAGTGAGTGGCTCGGGGACAGCTGCTCGGACTGAGCTCAGGGCACTGCTGACAATGACACCTCATTGCAGAGTCCCGAAGAGCCGCTCCCAGAACGTCAGGCTGGCCCATGCCCCCCTGTAGGAGGGCACATCTGAGAGGTCGACATCAGCCGGTCGTTCAGCCTCAGCAGGCCTGCCCGAGCCCCTGCTCTGGCATGGGTGGCCTCGGCAGGGCATCTGACGCTTTGGAGCCTCTGTCGTTTCATGTAGGAGATGGGGACAGTGACACCTCACAGGAGTGCTTGTATGGCAGGCACTTCGCCCAGGACCTGGCTGTTAACGTGGAAAACTACATGGCCACCATGTTAGCATTTCACACACAGGGAGATGGGACGCTGCAGGCCCAGGGATTAAGCCGAGGGCGTCTGGACGGCGCTTTGGGTGTCATGTTCAAGTATTTTCTGTGCACATGTTTGTCAGTCTTCTGTGAGGCAGACATTTATCAGATGTGGAAAATGAGATCCAAAGCCATGACCTGGCCCCTCCAATCGGGCTGGACCAGGGAAGGGTGGGACCCAGGTCCCCCAGACCCTGGGCTCTTGCACTGCCGTCTGACTGGAAGAATTCTCTTTCCAGCCCAAATGCCATAGGGAGCTCCCCAGTGTAGGCCCCGGACATGCCCGAGGGACCTGCTGCCATGGTCCTCCCCGCTCCGTGATACTGCCACGCTGTCCTAACTAATAGCCAGTGGTCTTTCAAAACCCCCATCTCAAAAGGGGCGATGCCATTGGTGGAGAATTCTGTGGTCTCCTTCTGGGGATCCTGGAGGCCGGGTGGCCCAGATGTCCTTGCTTGTACCCTGACTCTGCTCTGGTTGTAGGGGCGACTGGATCCGAGTCGGGCTGTGCTACCCACGCGGCACCAGCTTCTCCATCCTCTCAGACGTGCACAACCGCCTGCTGAAGCAGACATCCAAGACGGGCACCTTCGTGAGGACCCTGCAGATGGACAAACTGCAGCAGAGCCTCCCCGGCCGGGGCTACTACTACTGGGACGAGGCCTCAGGGTGAGCAGCCCCCTGCCGTGCTGTAGGAACGCAGCTGTCCTCCTTTCGTCCCGGCCTTTCCAGCAAATCTAAGATCCCCTGCAGTCGTGCCGGTCAGAGCAGGGTCTGCTCCTAGGCACTCCCGTCCTAAGGCTCACAGTACCATCCACCAGTGACAGCTGGTAAGCTTTGAGAGGAAGATACACATCTGTATTCGAAGCCCTCGCCCTTTCTACTGCATAAGTTCTAGTCAGTAGAGATACATGGGCAGAGGGCACCTGCTCATGGAGCCGAGGGGCCTGTTTGGTCCCCTCCCCTGTAAAGAGACTTCGTCCACCCATCTCCAGGGTGACGACCTTGTAGACAGCCAGCCCTCTGGGGAGTGAGGGGAAGGTCACATTATGGCCATTTTCCCTTCTTGTATGGAGATCAAGGATAAGGACATAGCTGGCATGTGCTGTCTTGTTTTGTTATAAGAGATAATGGCTCTATACATTTATTAAAGGAATATCAGAATTTGAACATCGGCAGGATAAGTATGGTGTTGGAGTTAGGGGGAAGTAAGTAGCGCCCCCTTTTCCACATCAATTCTAAACCAGTTGATGGCAGACAGGCCAGCAGGTGAGGAGGAAGCTCTCAGTCTTGCTGCTGCTGGGGCTGTGGGAGAACAGCTGCCGCTCCGGCCCCAGTCGTACCCACGCAGCCCCTGATGGCACGGGGCCCAACCCCCAAGACTAGTGCAGAGGAGGTCAGAGTGCCCGCAGTCCATGGGCAGACCTGTTACCCACATCCACCGGCCAAGTGGGCCAGTTCACCTCCTCCAGGAAGAAGGGGGTGAAGGGATGGGCCTAGGGCCAGGAGTGCTTAGAAAATCCCTCCAGATGGAAAGGAGAGTGGGGATTAAATGTCCCCCACACACCAGGAGACAGTATTATGATGAGAAAAAACAAATGCCAGTAAGGCCAGGTCCTCGTGGCACCATCTATCATATTTTTTCTTTTAGGATCTTGAGAAATGGGATGTTCCAAAGATGTGAATATTTCAAATGGAAACTGCCACTAAACAAGTTGAATCTTTCTGATCAATACATCCAACAACATATATGATTTTCCCCCTTGTTACCTTTAAGCAGATTTTGTTGTGTAATTCAACCTTTCTGTCAGTAGCTTAGCTTATCATTATGCCTATTGATGATTATACTGTGCTTTTTAAAAATATTTTTTTAATTTTTCAATTACAGTTGACATTCAATATTGTATTAGTTTCAGGTGTACAGCATAGTGATTAGGCATTTATATAACTTACTAAGTGATCCCCTGATACGTCTAGTGCCCACCAGACGCCACCTGTAGTTATTATATTATTGACCATCTTCCCTGTGCTGCACTTTACATCCCCATGACTGTTTTCATAACAGGCAGTTTGTGCTTCTTAATCCCTTCCCCTTTGTCACTCAGCTCCCCAACCCTCCTCCTGTCTGGCAACCATCAGCTTGTTCTCTGTATCTATGTGTCTGTTTCTGGTTTGTTTATTTTCTAGATTCCACATATAAGTGAAATCACCTGGTGTTTGTCTGTCTCTGTCTGACTTGTTTGACTGAGCATCATAACCTCCTGGTCCATCCATGTGGTCACAAATGGCAAGACCTCATTCTTTTTCATGGCTGAGTAACATTCCATTGTGTATATATAGCACCTCTTTATCCATTCGTCCATTGATGGACACTTAGGTTGCTTCCATAGCTTGGCTGTTACAAATAACGCTGCAGTGAACACAGGTGCATGTATCTTTTTGAATTGGTGTTTTGGATTTCTTTGGATAAATACCCAGGAGTGGAATTGCTGGGTCATAAAGCATTTCTTTTACTTTTTTGAGGCCCCTCCATACTGATTTCCATGGTGGCTGCACCAATGTGCAGTCCCACCAACAGTGCACGAGGGCACCCTTTTCTCCCATCCTTGCCAACACTTGTTGTTTGTTGATTTATTGTTGATGGCCATTCTGACAGGTGTGAGGTGGTATATCATGGTGGTTTTAGTTTGCATTTCTCTGATGATTAGTGACATTGCAAACCTTTTCATACGTCTCTTGGCCATCTGTATGTCCTCTCTGGAGAAATGTCTATTTAGGTCCTCGGCCCATTTTTTAATTGGATTGTTTGGATTGTTTGTTGTTGGTATTAAGTTATATGAGTTCCTTACATAGGTTTTCTTTTCTCCATTTGTTTATTTTTTCTTTTCTCCATTTGTTTATTTTTTTCTTTTCTCCATTAGTTTATTTTTTCTTTTCTCCATTTGTTTATTTTTTCTTTTCTCCATTTGTTTATTTTTTCTTTTGTTTCTCTTGCTGGAGGAGACATAATATATATATTCCTAAGAGCGGTGTCAGAGTTTACTGCCTGTGTTTTCTTCTAGGAGTTTTATGGTTTGAGGTCTTACATGTAAGCCTTTAACCCATTTTGAGTTTATTCTTGTACGTGGTTTCATTTTTTCAGTGTGTCTGCCCTGTGTTTCCAGCACCAGTTATCGACGAGCCTGCCTTCACCCCCGTGTGTGTTCTCGCCGCCTCTGTCACAGATTAGTGGCCATATAGATGTGGGTTCATTCTGGGCTCAGAGTATGCTTTAATTCAATGGCACCCTCAGGAACTACTAGCTGGGTTACAGGATGTTTGTTTCCTGTGCAGAAACGCAAACTGGGGCCTTTTGACTCCTCAGGGCTCTTTCTGCCTCGTGAATTAGCAGTTATTTCTTACTCAGATTCAGAGCACTAGCTTCAGGGGCTGCCTTCTCTTCTGCTGTGGGTGCGGACACTGTAACTGAGGGTAAAATAAAAGCAGGCTAAAAGTGAGGGGGTGCAGATATATTTCACACTCAGAATCCCCTCTGCCGTTCAGGGTTAAAAACACAGGAGTGATTTTAGCTGTGCTCTGGATGCTGGGGTTTGCCAGACGCCCCCTGAGCGAGGCGTTGCTCAGCCTTATGTAGTGTCATGGCCAGGTGCGCGGCTGCCAGCGGTTCCCAACGCCCCCGCAGACATCCCTCTGCTCCCTGTGCACAGGCTGCTGTTCCTGAAGCTGACAGCTCAGAACGAGAGAGACAAGTTTGCCTTCTGCTCCGTGAAGGGCTGCGAGAGAATCAAGATCAAAGCTCTGATCCCCAAGAACGCGGGCGTCAGCGACTGCACGCCCATGGCCTACCCCAGGTTCGCCGAGAGGGCCACTGTGGACGTGCCGATGCCCAGGAAGCTGGTTGGTGCTCAGCTGGTGAGTGGCTGCTGCCAGCCCAGCCCCTCCGCCTTCAGTCACGCCCAGACCCAAGTGGGGTTCTTTCGGGACACCTGCTCAGGTCCACAGCGTGCTTCCTGTGACAGGGATGGGGGAGCTGAGGGGGTGACCAGGGGTACCTGGGACGCCTCAGACCTAACACCCACACCGGGTTTGTTTGTTTCCCAGAAGACAAAGGACCACTTCTTGGAGGTGAAGATGGAAAGTTTCAGGCAGCGTTTCTTCCACCTTATAAATGACTTTGCTTACATTGAGGTGAGTGACTTCAGTCCCTGTAGAGAGGGGGTGTGCTTGCTGACAGTAAGCGCTGCTGTCGCAAGTGACCACATGCTGGGTGGCTTAAAACAACAGAATTTATCCTCTCACAGTTCTGGGTGCCAGCAGCCCAAACCCAGATGTTGGCAGGGTTGGTCCCTGTTGGCAGCTCTGAGGGAGAAGCCGTTCCCGGCTTCTGGGAGCTGCCAGCAACCCCTGACCTCCCCGACACGTCTCCAGCCCCTGCCTCTCTGCCTGCACACGGTCCTTCCCCCTGGGGGTCTGAGCCCCACCTGTCCCCTGCCTGTCTTCTGAGGAAACCACCATTGGATTTCAGACCCATCCTAAATCCAGGGTGATCTCATCTCGAGATTCTTAACTTATTTACATCTTCAGAGACCCCATTTCCAAATAAGGCCCCTCTCACAGGTTCCCGGTGGACATATTTGGGGGTGGGGTGCACTGTGGAGCCCACTACAGAGGCTACAGGAACTGGTGCAGGTGGGCGTTACGCTTTGAGCAGCGGCCAGTAAACCTCGGTGTTCAGAGTCTGCGTGGGAACACTGCGCAGAGCTGCCTCGGGACCCCCCTCACACCTGTGTGGCTCTGGTCTGCAGGTGGACGGGAGGAAGTACCCCAGCTTGGAAGACGGCATCCAGGTGGTGGTGATTGACGGGCGCCACGGGCACGTGCTGAGCTACACGAGCTTCAGGAACGTCATCCTGCAGGGCGTTCCGCGGCAGCTCGCCATGTACGTGGCGGCCATCCCCGACAAGTGAGTCTGTGCCTCTGCTTCTCCAGCTGGCCGGTGACACCACGGACCCCCAGCCTGGGCCCCCTCCGTGTCCCTGAGGCTGCATCACAGTCCAGCCTGGGAAAGCTTAGGGAGGCTCCAGGGTTGGCCCACGAGCCGTGGGTGCTAGGCTGGGCACGGCCCGTGGGAGCCAGGGCCTGTGAATGTAGGTTGGGCCGAGGCAGACAGCTACCCAGTTACAAATGGGAAGCCTGCCCTGGCCCTCGACCCCATCACGACACACTCTCCCCGCATGATCTCATGCCTCCCACAATTCTAATGTGGTCCAAATGCAGCTGGCTCCGGAGGAGCTGCAGCCCAGAGCTGGAGCTGCCTGTCCTAACCTCCACATTCCTCCCCAACTGCTATGTGGAGAGCGCCTCCTAGAGGCTTCCTGTGGAACTGAATGCTCAGCTTCCGGTTTTCAATCCCCCAAACCAGCCCCTCTTCCTGGTTCCCCAAGAGCAGACTGTGGGCATCGTGTCTGACTCTCCTCTGCCCTTCACTGCGCCACACTCTGTCACCACACTCTGTCACCACACTCTGTCACCACACTGTCAGCTCCACCTTCACGTATGCTCTCCTGCCTGTTCCTTCCATGCGTCCTCTCCACCCAAGCCTTCCCGCCCTATGCACAGGGCCACCACTGGCCCCAGGGTCCCAGGGAAAGAGGGAGGTAGCGGCTCGCACCAAAAACATCAAGGGTGGCTTCTAGGCGCTGCCTCTGCCCTGCCGCCCTGTGGGAAACTCCGTGCGACAGGTGCAGGGGCTGGGAGGACCCCACACCAGGCAGAGGGGGTCACCCAGGCGTGCAGGCCGGCTCTTGGTTCCCTGCCGTCAGGGGCAGTGACCCAGGAGAAGCCCCGTATCCGTCCCCATACCGGGGGCATGGCCTTCATGCGAGTCCACCCCCGGCAGAAAGGCTGAGCCCAGCCAATCCTCTGAACTGGAAGATGGGGACACAGCCTCCTGGGGACACCTGCTTCCGAAGTAGAGGGTGTGTTGGCGGTGCCCGCCTCCCCTCCGCCCTGACTGCGCACAAGCCCTGTGCATGCTGAGCTTTCCTTCCGCTCCCAGAGGGGCTGTGGGGCAACAGCAGGCTCCAGAACCCCGCAGAGTTTGTCTGGTCTGTGGTCTGTGGCTCTGGGCTCCTCTGGGATGTGAACTGGAGGCCCCACTGGGCTTCTGCCTGTGTCTGGCTCTGGGGGAGGCGTTCGCTTCCTGCCGTCCGGCCAGCATGCTGAGTCCGACCATGGATGCTGTTTGCACAGCTCTCTGGTCTGAGTGCAGCCAGGGCGGCTCGTGGAGACGCCTCGCTCCCAAGGGGGCTTTTGCAGGACGGCACCTTGAGGCCGCCCCCACCCGAGCAGGGCTCCCCTCTGGCAGGTCCCCTCAGATACTTAGTAACTATTTGCCTCAGTTTCCCCATTTGCCAAACGGAGTGGTAATGCTGTGTTACCTGAGCAGAGAGCGAAGTGACAAGCAAGTAAACGTTAACCCTCCCTGAGCACGTGCGCAGTCGCTCTGCGTTCTGGCTCCCTCCATCACCGCGTCTCACTCATCCTGTCCAAACAGAGCGGAGAACATTCAGATTAGGAAACGTGTGTTGAAGTCCTGTGTGCCCCGTGCTGGCATAGCGGCTGCCCCCCGATGGTACACGCTTGTACCTCATCTGTCCTCTGGGGACGACCTGTATAAGCAGTGAGCTGAGGGCCTGGCCCCACTATGGCCGGACGTGTGGGAGGGCCGTCCGGGGTGTTGGGCACCACATGGAAAGAGCCAGTCCGCATGCAGAGGCGCTGTCCCCTCCCACGCCTTGGCCGGCCTCTGGGCACTGCCGACACCAGCCCCAGCGCACAGCCCACCACCCTCCCCACCTTGCTGTTTGCTGTCATCCTCTAACTGCTCCCTCTCTGCTCAGTTCCATAGTTCTCATGGCATCAAAGGGAAGATACATCTCCAGAGGCCCGTGGACTCGAGTGCTGGAAAAGCTCGGGGCAGACAAGGGGCTCAAGTTGAAAGGTGAGGGGTTTGGACCGGGGCCGACATGAGTCTGGTGCCTGGTGTGCAGGCTGCTGAGACCAGAACACTGGCCACCCAGCCTGGCTCTGGCCTCTGAATCCTCAGCTGGTGGGCCGGGGGATGCAGCGGAGGCGCCACCTGGGACCAGCCCGTCCAATAGACACTGTCCTTTAACATGTGACTGGACACTGCAGGAGTTGCTAGAGTTGGTCACCCATCTACTCAGCAAGTGGCCCTTTTTTCAAAAAAAGAATCAGCAGAGAACCTCTCGCAGCTCTGGCCGCTCAGACTGGCCGCGCCCCACCTCTTCCTGGGCACCCAGCCAATGTCCCAACATGTGTATGGCCTGCAGTGGTTTGCATAGTTCTTATTTGCTCCCTGGAGGTATGGAGGGAGAGGCCAGAGACCTGTGTGGCTTGTCCAAGGTCGCCCAGCTCTTCTGTGATGACGCCTGGCACAGACCCACAGGACAGATACGTCCGCGTGACTCTCATTACCATTGTCACAGACTGTTCAGAATCCTTGGGAGGCTGAGAGGAGAGACAGGACAATTTTACAGCTACCTCACTTACCCCTCAGTGGCCTGTGGGACAGGTCTTGTCATTTCCACTAAGATGAGGAACGGACAGAATTAGTCACTTAACTGACTTCAGGTTAGATTTTGGATCCTAAATTTTCTAATCCAGAGGCAGGGTTCTTAGCTGCCATGCCATCCCAAGTTCAGAAAACATCAGAGCTACCACCCAGAGGGCTTCAGGAAGGGGCGGGACTCACTGGTGTCCTGGGGTCTGTGGGGTAAAGCAGGGCTGCCACCGGGCTCAGCGGAGACCCTGCGTGCCTGGGAGGGGCAGCGGGATGGCGGGGACCGTTCTCTCTTGGGGTTTCTGCTCATGTGACTCATTACTGCTTTTCAGAGAAAATGACGTTCGTTGGCTTCAAAGGCAGCTTCCGGCCCACCTGGGTGACTCTGGTCACTGAGGACCACAAGGCCAAGATCTACCAAGTTGTGCCCATCCCCGTGGTGAGGAAGAAGCAGCTGTGAGTGCAGCTGCCGCCTGGGGCCGCCCACGCGGACTGTGACGGCGGACTTTTGGCAGCAGACCAGGGTAGGGTGGCTGGTTCCCCCAGCCCCTGTCCAGCGGCACCTTGGGAAGGCCATGTGTCCGGATAGGCCAAGGGAAGGACCCTGAGACCCCTGGGGCCTCCGCCTGCCCCCACTCAAGCATCTACCTGCAGCCCCAGGGCGGTGTTGTCTTTCCTACAGCCTCTTGGGTGCGTCTCTCCTATCTGTGCCTCTTCAGTGGGGGGTGTGGGGACCCTGCGAGGAGACCTGGGCCGTGATGACAGCAGGGTCCACTCTGGCATCGATGTGGACTGGGCCGCCGGGTCACTCAGACTCTCCTGCTCACGAGCACACGTTAGGGGATAGACGCGCCCTGGTCTTAAGGAAATCTTTGTTCCTGTAAGCAAGAACCAGCTTCCACAGGATTAGAGCAGGCGTGCACAGCTCACGGACGTGGAGCCTGTTACCCCTGGTGAAGGGGCGAGCTCTGCGTGTGTGTGGGGGTCAGCCTTTCAGGAGACTCCGGGCCCCAGGTGAGATCACACTAGGTGACTTTTAAAGGCCCTTTCAGCTCAGAGTCCCCAGAAGTCTGTGGCTTTTCATATTGTGCCCAGAGCCCAGCAGTAGATGAGAACATTCCATGATGCTGGGTGCCTGAGGCCTACAGGACGGGGGTGGGGGATGCCTAGGTGAGGGACTTGCAGTCTAGTAGGACGTGCAGTCAGGTCCATGTGCCCTGTGAGACCAAGCAGAGAAGTCAGAGAGGGGCAAAATGGGGACCAATGCCAGTTCAGAGGACGGAAAGATCTCCCTTGCCTGGGTGAGTCAGGAAGACTTCCGGTAGGAGGAGGCAGTGGGGCTTGCAGGCATGATGGGCAGCCTCAACTTCATTCAAACTCTCTGTCAGCCCACGCACGGGCGCACCCGGCTGCGGCAATTCCATTGGTGCTACCTGTCCCGCAGGCCTGCTGGTGCAGCCCAGCAGACAGCGACGGGCACACGCCGATCTGCCTTAGCGGCCCTCGGGGTCTGAGAGCTGCTGAGTCCAGCCCAGGCCTCTCAGCTCCTGCTTAAGCCCCTGCTCGCCCCCTTGCCCACCGGGAGAGCTGAGAGAGTTCCGGGAAAAGGGAAAACTACCTGTGGTTTAGACTGTCTCGTGAGGCACCAGGGCCACTCCGGGTCTCAGGATGAGCTACGTCTGCCTCCTTTCCTGCCCCAATCACAAACTCTTTCCTTCAGAGAGAACTTTCTCGGTTCCCTCTGCACAGCTACCCCCCGAGATAGGTCAGCAAGTCCATCCCCCCAGGTTGAGCCAACTGCCAGAGGTTTTCCCACCAAACAGGTCTTCCCGTTGCTAGGAGGTGACCCAGGGCTCCGCCTCTTAAGACATGGTAGCTCCCAAGGCCCCAAGCCCAGGAATAACCTTCCAGGCAGAGTAGCGGCGAGAGGGCAGTGCGTCACCATGAGCTCATGTTCTCCTTGTCGATAGTTCTGTTGAGTTTTGCAAACTCTTTTCATGCAGGGGTCTCACACTGTGAACGTTTGGGATGCGATCACTTCAGGTGGCCAGGGATGGTGACTGTCTTTAGTTCAGTTCATTTCAAGAAGGATCTATCTGAAGCGCCTCAGAGTTGTACATATATCTCGCTCGCATAGAGCCTTCCTCCTTAAACTGTTTGCCAGGAGCCGATGGCCAGGCATGTCCTTGGTCGCACAGATTCTCTTACTGCTTAGGAAGCCATCCTTGCTGTTTTTTCTGTGTGTGAGCATCAAAATGAGTGAGGCTTTTGAGGAAAACAACACGCCTCTGAAATGCTTGTCTATTTCCTGTTGCCGAAATAGCTGGTCCTTTTTCGGGAATTAGATGTATAGTGTGTTTTATATGGAAACATTTCTTGTAGGCGTCACTATGAACAAAGATATATTTTTTATTTATTTATTATATATGCACTTGGAGAAGTCCTTGTCAGAGAATGAAGAATTGTCTTAAATGTCACGTTTGGGGATGTGCTTTGGCTGCCTGGAAAGCAGTGTCCCAGAGCTTTCCGCTTGCACTGGAAGACACGGCTCTGGGGTGGAAACTATCGCTGTACCCTAGTAAACATGCAAAGGCTGTCATCCCCTTGTCTGCTTGTTCTGTTTCCTCTAAAGTGGGTCTCATTTTAGGCCTGATATCTAAGGAAAATACGATTGGTGAATGCCCGAGGGGTCGGCCTCTGTCACTCCAAGACTGATTCAGTCATCCAAGCCCTACCTTGTCTGGCCCTAAGGGGGTACCCAGAAGAGCAGTGGACATGGTCCCCTGAGAAGAGGACACTCACGTGACAGGCCATGCCCAGGGTGTGCTGTGGCCCCCGCACTTCTACGCCATCAGTAAGCCGTTAGGGCAGCGCCCTCCCCGAGGGAAGCCAGGGGCCACCGCAGGGTCAGGAGTAGAAGCAAGACTGTCTCTTCCTCATGGGCACAGTTTGGCCAGAGGCCAGTCTCAGCGTCTGAGGAGAGGGTTGAGGTTGAGTTGGTTCAAATCAGGCTGCCAGGCAAGAGGGACAGAAGCAGGTTAGAGGGACTTACTTCTTGCTAAAAACTGAAGCTCCTCAGATCCCACTAAGAACGAAAGCCCAGGAATTTTCAACAAAGGGCCAAACGCACACAATGGGGAAAAGACCGCCTCTTCAATAAATGGCGCTGGGAAAACTGGAAAGCCGTGTGCAAAAGACTGAAACTAGACTGCTATCGACACCATACAGCAAAATTAACTCAGAATGGATCAGGCACTTGGATATAAGACCTGAAACAATAAAATATGTAGAAGAAAACATAGGTACTAAACTTATGGACATGGGTCTCAGGTTTTTGTGAACTTGACCCAAAAGGCAAGGGAAGTAAAAGCAAAAATAAACGAGTGTGACTACACGAAACTACAAAGCTTCTGCACAGAAAAAGTAACAACCACCACCAAAAAGGCAACCAACTGACTGGGAGAAGATTTTTGCAAACCATACCTCCAACATGGGGCTGATAGCTAAAATATATAAGGAACTCATACAATTCAACTCCACAAAAACAATCCAATTAACAAATGGGCAGAGGACCTAACAGGCACTTCTCCCAAGAAGACACACGGATGGCTGACAGACATATGAAAAGATGTGTAGTGATCTTTTCAGCGTCACTCATCATCAGGGAAATGCAAATCAGAGCCACACTGAGCTGCCCCCTCACGCCTGTCAGGGTGGCTCGAGACTCGGGGGGCACGCAGTGGAGTGCCCACATGCTGTATTATAAAGTACACCTGACACTCATGCTATTAAGCAGTTACCCCAATACATTTGTTTTTATTTTTTTAGCTGAGCCATCCTGCCACCTGTTGGCAGCTCAGCGGCAGCTCAGCTTTGGGCCGGGCATCGAACCGCTGGTGCTCAACTGAGCCACTCGGCCGGCCCCCCCAATACATTTAAAAAGAAAAATTAAATAATTTGCTGGCTGTAGCCTTGTCACAGTGAACGCTGGCTGCTTAAGTGTCTTCAGCGTTTGGGGATCACCTTTTAATGGCTAATGAAGCTGCTTAAGCTCCTGTGATTGGGAGTAACTCGGTAACTGTACCCAGTCGACACGCACGTGCACCTGAGCCTGTGGCTCCTCTGGCCTCCACCTGTGGACCTCCTGTGCCTCACCTGAGAGGGCTGTTCTGTCTCCCCCTATGGTGACCACCTCAGTGGGAAACATGGTCTCTTTCATTCTTGATTTCCCCAAAACACACAAACACAAGGAAGCTACTTGTAGCAGAATTTGGCTGAAGGTTTGGGAATATGGCACAGCACCAATATGGCAGCACTGAGACCGAAAAACACAGCCCTGCTGCTTTGTGCCCTACGAGATCAGTTCATCCAGCAAACCAGCTATTAGTACCCAGAGTGGAAGGGAAGCGTGGGAGGCCCGTCCGGCCTGAGCTGCTGTGTCTCCTCCCCTAGAAGAAAGCAGCTGCTAAAAAATGCACTTCTGCCTGTTGATGTCTTTTAAACAGACTTTTCCCTTCCCACTCTAGAGGGGAAACAGTAAACCTGGCTGGACAAATGACACAATATGGGGAGAGCAAAACACCAAGGGCGGAATCATCACAGTTGCTTGATACGACTGTGAAATTTTCAGCAGCGGGGCCGGGGGCCTGCCTTGGTCGCCTTTACTCCCCACCTGCACCGTCCCAGGTATTTGTTGGTGGGCACGTACTTGGTGAGTGCGTGTGCAGACAGACACGTGACCCAGAGGACTGAGCAGCCCCTCTCTGAGTTCAGATCCTGGCTCCGTCACTTCCTAGCGATGTGACCTTGGGGGAAATGCTTACCTTCTCCAAGCCTGTTTCCCTGTGTGTAAGGCGGGGATAATATAGTAGCTATTGCCTCGGGATGAAGTAAATTAATACATGTTGAACCGCACGCAGATCAGACCAAGAGCAATCCAGAGAAAGGTGTCTGCAGGTGTTCACAGGTACTGGGCAGGCAGATGAGCGATCTGGTCATTGAAACAACAGCTGAAGACGTCTCCCCAAAGGATTGTGGCGGGTCAGAGCAGCAAGCGGCGAGGCCTGAGGCAGGGCGGGTCTCTGCTGCCGCCTAGTGGATGCCTCCCTTCACTTAATACTTTTTTTTAATGTGGGAAGACAATAATGATCGTTTTCAAGGGCTCTGGCCAAACCACTTCCCCAGCTGTGCCATGGTTTTCTGCACTGTATGGCGGAGAGATCGGACAGCTCTGCCTCTTGACAGGGCTCTTATGAGGGAGGCGAGCCTCGCTGGTTCTGAGGTCAGGGCCAGTCCCTTCCCCAGGCTGGCTCAGCTGTGCGCTGGGGCTGCCCACACATCCAGGGCAGGACAGGAGTGAGGCTCACACGAAGAGGACCATGGGAAGTACGTGCAAGTTCTAAAGCTCAATGACATTAAAAACAGAATGAAATTTAAAAACAAACAAAAAAACTCATTTCAGAGCTAAGAAAAAAAAAATTGCTCCAAACACCAACACACAGCTAAAAAATAAGTTAAATTTTTCCAACATGATGAAAAAACAGTGAATCTGCGATTGAAAATGACATACCATATTCCAGGAGATATATATATATATATATATATATATATATATATATATATAAAGATTTCGAAAAACCAACACTAACACTTTCCCAGCAAAATGACTGCTAGGAACGAGGGATTCTAGCGAAGGGATAGAAAAAGCAGATGGCGAGAGAAGGCGTCCTCAGACCTCGCCGTGGGGCCATGGATCTAGTGTGCATATACGAATAACAGTAGAAACAAGAGCTGGGGAGGCAGGCGGAAGTTTGTGGGTTCCCTCACCATGGCTGGCGGTCCATACAGCCTACGTTGGTTTAATTAAAAAAGAGGTGTACAGTATAAAGGAAACCACCAGAACTAAAAATTTCAGCATAACCGTCACACACCAGAAGGCATGAGGAAGGACGTGGCTAAGTTGCACGTTTGATAGCTGCCAGTCCAGAAGTACTGCAAGGCAACGTGTGTGTGTGTGTGTGTGTGTGTGTGTGTGTCCTCCCCCCCCCCATGCAGGGCATTTCTCTTCTGCACCAGTCTGCACGTGGGGCAGCTGCTCGGCTACCACGCACGTCTGCTCCAGGGCTGAGGTCCCACACAGCCAGGGCTGCCAGGTACTCTCTCTCTGTATGTGGCTTCTGACATGGCCTCTCCAGTGTGTGGCTGCAGAGGCGCCGGTTCAGATCCGGCCTTACATCTACTAAACTGGCGAGTGAAACGCCGGCGCAGGCAAGGATCTGAGATCTGCTGCTGGGAAAGGCGGTTAAAAACCACTTGGGAGAACTTGGCAACGTACACCACAATGTGCAGTTGTGTTTGTTCTAGTAATTCCACTGCTAGCAATTTGCCCTTCACATATAAACAAAAGTTTACCAAAATATTTTGTAATATTTGCTTAAATGTCTATCACAGCATTGTGTGTACCAGCAAAACCCTAGGAAGCCGAATGTCCTTCGGCAGGGACTGTGCAGGTCATCTGTGGGGCACACCTCGCCCGCCTGCCCACCTGGGCCCCCTGCACCTGGCCTACACTGCTGGATGCCCTCCCGGCGCGCCCAGTGGTGCCGCCTTCCCAGCACTTCCCCAGGGCAGCCAGTGCAAACTGGGTTGTCTCTGGCACCCACCACACTGCAGCTTTAAATCCTTCAGGAAACCCTGAATTCCTACGAGACCCCGTCCATGTACCCCTTACCTCCAGCCCCGTCCTGCTCATGGGCCTTCTCTCCTCTGCCTTCTAACCACAGGCCCTGGCACGGACTATCCCTCTGTCTGGATCACTCCGTGCCTGCTCTCCTCCTGCCCCAGGGAGGTCCCCGCTGACCCTCCTGCCTCCTCCTTCCCCAGCCCACCTCTTGGCACCATGTACTTCTCACGCTTCTAAATGTTGCCGTTTTAACAGGCGTGTGATTAATATTTGTCTTGCCCACCAAGTCGTTCAGTTTCATGATGGCAGGGCCTGTACCTCCCCGGTCCGTGGCACCTAGCAGTGCCAAGCACCTAACAGGCTGAGGTGGCTGCACACGAGACAGGACACTGCCACAGGGAGATGCCACATGGAAACGAGGCTCGCTCCCTTCTGTTCAATGAGACGACCCCCCAGCCTAGGCCACCATGGGCACAGATGACAGAAACCAACAAATGTCCCGAAGTTAACCCTGAGAACACAGAGGTGCGGGGCTCAGCCGATGCCACAGGGACCCCGCGCGCTCTTCGCATCCCCTCCCCGCCTGTGCTGGCTCCACACTGACGGCACCTCCGACAGGGCAGCTCCAGCTTCATCCTGGGTTCAAATTGTATGAGGAACAAGACACAGCTCTTCCTGAGGTGGCTCAGGAAACTCACCTTGGTTAGCTGTCATCCCGGGAGCGGGGTGGCCTGGGGGTTTGGGGGCTGAGGGCACATATGCCAGCCAGAACACGGAACTGAGAGAAGCAGCCACAATAAGGGTAAATGGCGCGGCAAGGCACACCCACACCACACACACATACACACACCACACCCACACAGACACCACACACCCACACCCCACCACAAGCTGGGTAAAGACTCGTGTTTTGGAAACACATTCCCAGCAGCTCCCACCGGGACAGGTGGTGGCTGCACTGGCAGGCACGGGCCTTCTACTCTGTACCCTTCTTTTAACAATGACATTTTCTAACCATGTGCTACTTTGTTAAAATCACAAAGGAAGGTTTTTTACAAATATTTGTAGTTCTTAAAGATGAGAGCTGTACATAAATCCCACAACTCACTCAGCGCAGGTGCCCACACGAAGAGCAGATGAGACAGTAGCACGAGTGTATCACGTGAGGACCATATGAAGACACCACAAATTTAGGCACTTTATCCAAGACACATGTTAGAAATGAACGAGGTGATCGAGCCTCTGCCACACTCGGCTGAGTCCCGAGGGACACCCTTTAACGTGTCACACTGGATGGAACCCTTGACACCAGCAGTGGTTTCCTGAATGACACAGAACGGGACCCCTCACACCTGACAGATGCCAAGAGTTCTCAGTAGATGATGAGGATTCAAGTCCAAGAAATTCAAAGGAAACACTTAGCTTTCCAAGTCACACTGTCCTCTGCGTTTTCGGCACGGATGTGGGGTTTACAGTCCTGGCGTCCTGACTGCATTTTAAAGTACCAGAGCTCCGTGCGTGGTCCCACAGCACGTTTGCATTTCACACTAATGAAAATGATGTTTGTGGCACGAAGAACCTTAAAGTTTGTCTGATTAGAACCTGGTATCCTTCCAGTTAACAGAAAATTAAAAAAATAAAAAGCACGGACACTGCAGGACACCAGATCAGAGCAGGTGCAAAGAAGGGGCAGTGCCACAGCAGAGTCAAGGACTCCCCCAAATGTGAATGGGAAAAGCAACACAGTCAGGTTTCCATTGAAAGTGACATTTTAGTAAACCTGAACCTGTCAGTGTCCAATGTGAATTACAAAATCTGTCTCCTCACTTGAAGCCTTTTCAACAGTGATTCTTACACTGACCACGGACTGGTCATGGGGCAGACCCGCCCTAGAAGGAACCAGAATTCCATCTGCGGTGCGGTCCCCACGCCCGCCCCACCCCGCGAGCGCTGGCTGAGCCCTGTCCTGCGTGTCCCCGTAGAGGCCACGGCTGCCCCGTTACAGGTCTTCTCGTGGACTCCCAGCTCGATTGTCCTCCTTTGAAGCCCGAGGTTTCGGGTTTCCCTCCTTCTTCTTCTTGCCCTTTTCCTGCTTTGTTTTGTTTTTCTCTTTGCTTCCTCCTCCTTTGCCCGGGTACACCTGTCCCTCCAGAGTTACATCGGCACACCGGTCTTGGCCGACCAAAAAGTCCTTGATCTCCCAGGCGTAACTCCCGTCACGAAGCATGAAGATGGCGCGGTCTGAGCCCACGATGAACCTTGACAGGGAGATGCGATCAGTCAGACACACGGGGAAGTGCTCAGGGGCCAGATTCTGTGGCACTTACCCAGGAAACAGACTTCCTTTCAAATTCTACAGGAATACACAACAAATTGTACTCGTCCAAGCCCAGTGGCTTCTGACATTTAATGTCTGAAAATCCCAGCTCCTGAACTGTTGGACCACTCAGCTCAGAAGGGCGGCAGACTGAATGTCGCGTGGGGTGAGGGACGCCTGTGCCCAGACACAGCATTGGGACGCACTCACAGGGGGCTGCAGATGTGCCTCGGGAAGCACGGAGCAGGCTGCCCGTGAACCCATGGGACATTCTGAAATGCCCATCTGACGTTTCTTTTGATAAAGGCATCTGCTGGTAAGGGCTGAAAACCACTGGTGAGAGGTCCATGGGAGCTCGAGAGGACACCGGGCTACTGGACAGAAATCCCCACCCTGGAGCAGCCCACGTGCGTCCACACTCAACACTCGACAGGTCCCAAGGAGCAAAGAGGAAAAGAAGGGGGTCTGGGTGGACCACCAGTGTGGCCAGTGGGCATGATTCTTCTGCTCCTGGGGCTACACTCACACCCCCACCCCTCAGGCTGGAACGCGCCACCACTCCAGGGTCAGCGCCAGCCCTGGGCCAGTCATCACCAGGGCCTGGTGTCTGTTTAAACTAACAAAGCATTCTGCCATCCTCACACTCTCAGTATTCCTTCAATTTTCTTTTTATTACTTTTAGGGTTCCCAAACTAAGACATTTGAAGAGCCTATATTTTAGAGCTGTTATTGAGGAGGAAAAAGGAAAATCCTTATAACTGCATCTTAGAATCACACTGAACTGTGAAAACCAGACCTGTTCACCTTACATCAGTTATCTGTTACTAGTCTCGTCCAAGCTTATGTGTGAACACAGCTACATAGGAAAGCCTTCTCCAAGAAGTGGACACTTCTAAAGAAAGCACACTGTCAGGCTGTAACTTACTTGGTCCCCAAGGAGGCTACACTAGACAACTTTTAACTCAGATGAAAAAAAGTTAGACACAAAGATAAATAAAACTACAATCAAATGACTTATTAAAAACAACTTACTGGCTTTGACCAATAATATTCTTGAAAGAACATCCTGCTAGACAGAGCCTCAGAAAAAGTGCCAGCACAGCCCCCGCTTTCCTCAGCAGGGTGGCTGGCGCTTTACCTCTGGACGTCGTAGTTGGCATTGAAAAGGCTGCCCTGCCAGAGGCTGGTGATTTCCTCCGTCTCCTTCTCCGTGGGGCTTCCTGATACGGTAACAAACATCATGAGAGTCTTCCCTTTCTTGGTCATTTTCAGTATGCTCTCAGGCTTGCCCGGATCTATCTGCGAGAAGTCGATAGGTGCCGAGGGCCTTTTGTGCTCGGGGAGATCGCCTTCTTCTATTTCATCGTCTTTCTGTGAGGAGGGGAAAGCAGCAATCATCATCAGAAATGTGCTTTTAAACTGGCAGAGGCGACAATATCTGCACATCGCGTCAGGCGCAGGTTTATGACCTACGTTGCAACAGGAAAAAGAAAACAGCGCATCTCCTCTGCTTGACTTTCCAGCCAAGTCTAAGCTACAGGAAGTCCCTCCTTCCTGTCACTCCAGGCCCCCCATCACAGACAGCCCCCATGTGATGGGTTCCTATAGCTGTTTCACTAGCCAAGAACCTGCCCAATATGGTAGATTGTAAAAATGGCCACATTCTGGCTTGGTCATACAGTGAAATACTGGACGGCAATGAAGAATAAATACACAAGGGACAGATCTCAAAAATATTACACTGAGTGACAGGAGCACCGTCGGGGAGGGAGTGGGGAGTGGATTTTGGGATCGCCACCAGGGAGAAAGTACTGTTTCCTAGAAAAGCACCCACGGACATGGATACACTCGCCCCCAGGAACGTGACTGCCCTGGGGAACGGTGCTCACGCTGGTAGCATCTGCAGACATCAGCTCTGTAGTCTGAATGGCAGCCTGCAAAGGGAGATGCTGTTTGGCTGTGTGGACAAGGAGGGTGAGGATCAGTTACCGAGGGGTAGAGCTGGCTTCAAAGCCTCTGTTCTTTAGCTACTTTACGCTGTCGCCTTATGGTCACACAACCACCTACCAAGTCCTGTTAAGAGCATCTCTCACATTTCTCCCTTCCACTCCATTCCTGCAGCTTCTAGCTTAATCCAGGTCCTCGTTTCCTTTCACGTGCAGTGTCCACCAGCGTGTATGGCAGTGTAGCGAAAGGGCTAAATGCGCAGGTTTGACTGAATCTGAAAGTCACCTTGGGCAAACGGCATCGTCCAGAAAACAGGGATAAGGACCTGCCTCATTCAGTGAGATGCTGTGCGGAGAGCAGTCCTGATAGCTCGTGAACTCTCACTAGGTATTAACTAAGTTGTCTCTGCCTTCAGACGCTCTCCCTGCCCATCCACCCTCAACTTTGCAGGCAGATTACGTTTCCTCCAGTGTAGCCCTAACCATGATAGTCCACTATTCAGAAACCCTCCACAGCTGAAACATCCACTCCAGGGAATATCTGAAGCCTTCTGAAAGGACTATAAAGTCTGTGCAGTAGCTTGGGAGATGCTTAATATGTATCAACTGAGTCCATTGATGCCATGCTTTCAGCTATAAAAACTGTCGGCATAGAGAAGGGGACTCAGTAATGGTTACTTGCAAACATTCCAGTACTGTAATATTTGGATAGTACAGCTTGTCAAACTCACGAGGGGCTGCATACTTCCTTCTAAAGTCCGAACCCCACAGCATTCACGGCCTAGCACGGCCTGGTTCCCACCATCCTCAGTACTCACTATGTGGCAGACAGAGTCTGGTCTAGCCAACCTACCTGATTTAGAGTAGCAAAGCTAATGATTAGGGGGGCACTATTCTTGGTTCTTTCCTTGTTTTCTCAGTTACCCCTCAGAACTTTTTAGGTGGGTACTGGTAACACCTCTGTTTTGCAGGTGAGGAAACTAAAGTACAGAGAGGTTCTTTACCAATTCAAGTTCACAAGTTTAAGTGGTTTAAACCCAGGCAGTCTCACTCCAGGGCCTAGTCTATTAACCTTTGCACCATTCTGCCCAGTTCCCATGTGTCCCATGTCAGCTCATGCTGCTGACACTTCCCTTGCCTATCTAAATGCCATTTCCTCCCGGAATCCTGTTGCGATCCCCACAGCACTTTCTTTTTATAGCACTCAGCAATTCCCACTTTGTTTTATGGTTATTTTTATTGTTATTTACTGTTCCCCATGGTTGGATCCCCTGTTTATCTCTGCGACACCCTTTTTGCCCAGCTCAGGCTCTGAGTATTTCCAAGGCAGGATTTCCTCATGAGATGGTGTTCTCACTTTGGCAGATCATAAACTTGCTCGGGTCCAGAAAGAGGCTGGGAGATTACAAGGGAGACAGTAAATGGGGAAGGAACTGCCACACCAAGTTCCCTGTCCATTAGTGGTCTCCACACACTCAAATCTATCCCAGTCTTTCTATCAGCTGCAGATAAACATGAAAACACAAGTCTGCTTTCTTCTAGTCAAATGCATCAGATGGTATTTGAAACTCATGTCTAAAAGCTCCTGAGAGAGACAGAACCACAAAGTAACAAAGGCCTAGAGGGACACGTGACTTGCCCAAGGTTACAGGGAGCAGAACCTGGGAGTTCTGACTATTCCACCAGCGGCGCACTGCACATTAACCAGGGCGATGCAACCACCTCTGCAAAGGAAAAAGGCAGCAACGTGTTTGGCTAGTAAACTTCATCTAAAGACCTTGAAGACCTTGTGTCACACTCCCTGTAATTACACACAATAGTGCATTCAAAGTACCAAACCAGCAAGCTTACGCTCACAAAAACAAGTCTTTGCTCCTTTCAGGGAAGAATGTGAGTTCCACGAGAGAGCGCCTCTAACTAGCCTTTGGTTACCGCGCCGGCGGGCCCCAACATAAAGCCACCCACAAAATGACAAAACTCTCAACAGAGAAATACACCCAAATGGGAAGTCTGAAAACGCTACTGATTTGGAAGATGGGCCAACTATTTAGTAACCGTCACCATACCCCTCACCACCCACTCACCCCATTCTTCAGGAACACACTGGAAAAGGTCTCCCTCCCTATTTGCAGGGCTCACTGACCACGGGGTGCAGCAGGGGCGACCAAGGCACTGAAGCTAAAGTGCGGCTCACTACGGAGAGGCTGACCCGTGACTGGAAAAGCCCCAGAAACGGTGGAAGAAAGAGGACACTGGAATAGAGGCCCGGGGCGGGGTCGGCAGGGGGTCAGCGGTGGCTCGAGTGGGTAAGGACTCATGGCGAGAGCAGAGAGAAGGTTAGGGGGTCAGAAGACACCGAGACGGAGGGGTTCAGAGGTCAGGGGGAGCGGGGCTCGGGACCGAGCCGGAGGGTGTGCGCGCGCCGCGGACCTCCCACTGTTCCAGAAGACGCGCCATGTCCGCATCATTGTAATCGCGAATATCCTTCTTCTTCTTCGGGGTAGGCGGGGCAGCTTCGCTGGGCGTTCCGGCCGGACCCTCGGCCGCGCGGACTGGGGGCGGCAGCGGCAGCAGCAGCAGGAGCAGATCAAAGGCACAGAGCAGGACCACGGCGGCGCGCGCCCACCCGGAGGCCGCCATCTTCGCTGCGCCGCTGCGAGACCGCGCCTGCGCAAGCCGCCGGCCCCGCCCCCGGACGCCCTCTTCCGGGACCTACCCCGGCCCTCGTCGGCGCCTGCAGCCGCCCCGTGCACGCCTCCAGCCACGCTTCCGCGTGACCCCGCCTCCAGGCTCGCGCTGGCCTAGCAGGCCCCGCCCCGTCCCCGCCGCCATCTTGGCCCCGCCCCGTGGCCCGCCCCTGGTCCCGCTGAGGCTCCCCGCGCCAGTGGGGCGGGCCCATTGCTCACGTTCGTTTTCCGCCCGAGGACAGACCACCTTTTTCTCCCTGCACCGCGAGCGCCTGGGCCCCACGTTCCCTCAGGGCCTCCAGGAGCCCTCCCCGCGCGCCTCGCGAGGCCTCAGTTTCTCGCCCGTGAGGTGAGTTGCAGCTGCCTCAGCTCCAGCAACGCCGCCTCGAGGTGTGAGGCGCCCCCGCGCGGCCTCCGGCGGTTTCCTTGGAGAAGTTTTGGAGAACTTGGGAGCAGCTTTCTCGGCGGGCCCGCCGCGTTGCTGCTCAGTCGAGAGCGTTCAGTTCCACCAGCTTCCCATAGCGCTGGCATCTCCCGAACTCCAGCATTTAAAAAAAAAAATTTTTTTTTAAACACATTCCTTTTCATTGTTAAAATAGCTTCTAAAGTAGTTCTCCTTGTCACCTAATCCTGTAGGCTCGGACTCATCCTTTTCATGGCTGAATCAGTCTATTTTTTTTTTGTCCCGTTTTTTAAAGAGTCCGGGGGGGGGGAAAAAAAATGATTCCGGCCCAGGTGTGCTTTGAAAGTTTGAGTGTGACATGGCTGGGCTGCTGACGTAGATTGCTAATGACCCCAGGAAGACACGAGTCGCTTCTTGCAGCTGTGAGATGACTGTACATCGAGCTCCACGCCGCCCGGATGTCCGTGCACGTGCGCTGTGCGGACATCACAGTGGCTCCGGAAACGGTTTCGTTGAGTCTGTGTGTGTGTGTGTGTGTGTGACGTGCTGTACACGCCCGTCAGCCCACCAGCTCCCGAAGCGTCCTCCGCTCCACGCTAGGACATGATGCACGTCCATTCTGTAGAACGAGGCATAGTTACGTTTTGGTGTTAATAGAACACTAGTTAGTTGCCCTACTGATGGACGTTGAATACCCGTTTTTCTGCTATCACGCACACAAAAGCCACAGTAAACTTTTTTTTTTTTCCCAGCGGCTCATCTCGGGCCGGGTATTGAACCGCTGCTGCTTCACCAATGGAGCCGCTAGGCCGGCCCCAGTAAACTTTGTTCATGTCTTGTGTTGTGGTCTGAATTGTATCCCCCCAAATTTCATAGGTTGAAGACCTCCCACTCTCCCCCCACCCTGCTCCCCCAGGACCTCAGAATGTGACTGTATTTGCAGACAGGTTCTTTCAGGAGGTGATTGAGTTAAAATGAGGTGGTTAGGGCGCCCCCACCTAACCCAACATGACCAGTGTCTATAGAAGAAGAGGAAATGGGCCACAGTCATGTATCAGGCGGAAGGCGTGTGGAAAACACAGGGAGAAGGGGGCCATCTACACGCCAAGGAGAGAGAGGCCTGCGAAGAAACCAGCCCCGCCAACACCTAGATCTGGGACTTGTCGTCCCCAGAACAGAGACAATAAATTTCCGTTGCTGAAGCCACCTGGCCTGTAGCATTTTGGTATGGCAGCCAAAGCGAACCAGCCACCTTGCTTCGGTTAGAGAGGATTCATAGGTTGCATTTAACAGAAAAATAAGTTTTTAAACAAGCATGGGCTTTGTTGTTATTGCTTTTTTTTTTTTCTTTCACAGAAGCAGTTGGAAATGAAGCGCCTAGGGCTGGTCACTGTGGCTTCATCTGCCACCCAGCCTCCTCCATCGCACTGGCCTCTGGCTTCCATCCTCAAGGTGGCTACTGGAGCCCCAGCCATCAAGATGATTTTCGTCTAGAGGAGGGTGGGGAAGGCAGGCCGAAAGGAGCATACCTTGCAAGGGAGTCAGCTTCACTTCAGCAGCCTGCTGGGACCGTCCGGACTCACAGCCTTTCTGTTTGCATCTCATTGGCTGCGACCTAGCCCTCCATCCAAGGTAGGCCGGGAAACTGTCTTCTAGCCAGACACATCGCTCTGCATGCAACTGGGATTCTACTGGGTTGTCGGGGAAAGTCATGACGTATTTTTTTCTATGTTTTTCCTTGCAAAAATGCGTCGTGACTTTTCCGACAACCCAGTATTATCCAGGGAAAAGAGGAAGTGGGTGTTGACAAGGCGGCTGGCTGACAACCTTCACTTTTCGGTGCGGTGCAGTTGAAATTCTTTCCCTGTCGTGCTGGCAGATAGTGTCCATTTTCGTGCATGCATCTGTATGTGTACACGGTGGACACTCTCTGTTGACACTGAGCAGAAACAAACTCATGAGAAAAAGAGGGTTTTTTTCTTTTCTTGTTTGAAATCTTAGGGGATATGTCATAAGCTTTCTCCCCAGGGTGCACTGCTCCACCCAGTGGCTCCAAGCCCTGTCCCGGTGCAGTCATGCTGAAAAACATGCACAGCTGTGGTCGATCATGTGCTCTGCTGGGAGGGGTCACCCTAGTCATTCATTTTGCCAGCTGCCAAGCAAAGGTGCAGGCGTGCGGGGAATCCTGGTCCACAGGATCTAGTTAGAAAAAGTTACTTAGTGCGTTGCAGAAATTGTTGGGATCGCATCAATAATTCCAGGGCTACTTGACTTTCATCTAAGGAGCAAATTCTTTTTATAACCCACCGATGTGAAAACATCTGGAGTGACTGCGTGCTCACTATTTTGGCATTTGGAACTTGATTCAGTTCAACTCTGGGAGAATTTAGATACTAAGGGCCTTCTGTCAGCCAAGACCCAGGTGAGGCACTATCGCCAAGTTCCTGCACAAAAGAGCGTGCAGACTAGCAGAGAAGATAAACAGGACACAGCCGATTATAGGAGTTAAGGACCTGACGGGATGATGTGATGATAACAATACCTCTATTTTAAATAAGAGGAGACCTTAAGCAGTGGGATTCCAAATCAGTTGTATGTTTATTTATTTTTAGTTACAGTTGACACAAATCAGTTGTATTTTAAAATGGAGGGATGCACTTATAAACACACTGATGCCTCCAAAATATTGATGCTGTTCTCTCCACTAAGATATAAGGGGAAAAAATATCTACTATCAACTGTAACTCTAAGAATAATACACTTCATATTATTTATAATACTGCAATTGCCTTGAAAACTTTCTCCTCTATAGGATTCTGGAAAATGGAAAATACATCCAAAGATCATTAACCTGTAAGGAAATGGGGTGGAGAATTTGTCTGTGAAAGCAAGGCTTGCCTCCCTGCAGGGCTGTCTGGTAAACTAGATTGGAGGAAGTTGTAGGTCTCCCAGATCTTGGCGCCTGAGTGCTTAGGTGTGCCCACCGTGGCAGAGCTGGTCTGGCACATGGGCCTCCCTCAGCCACTCAGCTTTAGAGGAACAGAGACAGCACGGAGGGAGAGAGGGTGCGAGGTGGGGTGGGGAGGGTATGGGGCTGACGGGTGAGGTCCTGCCTGCCCATGTGCTCTTGCTGTATGGAGAGCCCAGCACATGCTGCGTAAGGAGTGTGGCCTGTCACACGGTGAGCCCACATGAGCCTTGGCCCCAGGACTGTCGGTCTCATTCATCACCTGTGGGGATGAAGGCATCAAGGAGAAGGGAGGGGAGGTGTGAATTCTCCAGACATAAACTCTCCTTCAGAAGAGCTATTGAAAGGAAGACTAAATAAAGGAGGATGTTTGGCTGTGTGTAAGAAAGATTGCCTGAGACTGAATGGGCCCACCTTTGAGCACAAAAATAAAACAAGGACGCTGCTGTAACGGGAAGACACACTAGGGCAGAGAATGCCCCAAACTGACTGACCACACACAGCCTGCCTATCTGTCTGTTAAGTCTGAAGCACAGTGTGAACGTTGGGTATGAAACTGTGAGCCTGTATACATCCAGCGGGGTATTTATTATTCAGTCTTAAAAGGGGAGGCAATCCTAACACATGACAATATCAATGAACCTTGAGGACATTATACTAAGTCAAATAAGCCAGACACAAAAGGACAAGTACTGTCTGAGTCTACTTATATAAGGCACCTAGAAGAGTCAAATTTATAGAGACAGAAAGTAGAATGGTGGTTTACAGGGGCTGGGGGCAGAGCGGAAGGAGCAGTTAGTGTTTAATAGGGACAGATTTCTGGAGATGGATAGTGGCCATGACTGCACAACCATGAGAATGTACTTAATGCCAGTGAACTGTGGATAAGTTCACACAAATGGCTAAGATGGTAAACTTTATGTCACGACAATTGTACCGCAATAACATGACCAAACCAGAGTGCTCACCTGAAGTCCAGGTGGGGGCTGCGCCACCTAGAATGGGCGAGGAAGGAGGGGAGGATGTTTCCGCACCTGCCCGCGCCACCTGTCGGCTCCGCTGCTCCTCCCCAAATCCTCAGGCAGCTCTCTGCTGGCATCCTGCTCACTCATTGATTTATTAAACTCCTACCCAGCGGTGGACTTGCGCCAGACACTGAGGCACACTCTCCAGTGGCCACACCCTTTCCTACACGGTCCCAGCTACCTCTCTGCTCCATTCACCTCCCGCCCCCCAGCCAGTCCTTAAGTCTACATATTTGCAGTTTCCTTCTCTCAGTGAATTTCCACTGTAGTGAAGAATACTTTGCACAGTACCTTTGGCTCATATATTTTAATTTTAGAAGAGGGTTACAAGAGGTAACCTTTTCTAAAGAGAACGCCCTTACCCAAGTGATTTTAGGGGCAGACATAAACAGCCTTCCTGTATTAATCAACTTAGACTCAATTATGCTACAGCAACAGACAACCCTCAGCTCTTAGTGGCTTCACACTGAGTTTACCTTTGCTCACATTTTATGCCCAGCACAGGTCGACGGAGGGTCTGCTCCACGGTCATCACGACGCTCCACCATCTGGCGGCCACACCGTGTAGAACACAGGCACTGGACTAGTTCCAGCAGGTTTAGGAGAGACCTCAGAATTACAGACCGGCTTTTCACTGCCTCAGCCCTACCGCACGTCCACCTGCTTTCATTGGTCAGCGCTGATCACATGACCCTGCGTCTGGACTACTGGTAAGTGGTATTATCTCTGCGAAAGTTCTTTGCTCTGTGCTCTCCGTCTCCCAGGGTGAAATGATGAGTCCTTGTTTCTGTGACTGTGTTGCCCTCTCTGAACCCTTCTCTCCAGAAGGGGTAGAGCCCTCACTTCCCTTACACACCTAGCATGGGGCCTGACGAGGTAGGTGCCCAGCATTCACCGAAGGAATGAACGGTGGTAAAGCGTGATGGTGACTCAAAGGCAGGAAGGAGGGGGTGGTGCCGGGAAGGATCAGTTTAGGAGGAGCCACCCTATCCGAAAAATGAAGCAGGGAGGATGAAGGAAACAATCCTATCAAGTATTTAAAGCTACACCAAGGGTCGTCACTGAATACAATGATGGACAGTGTTGGGGCACAAGGTCTCCAGCAGCAACACAACAGGCAGCAGACGCAGAAGAAAAGGCAAATAGGACCCCAGGGGCACCGAGTGGCTTTGGGAAAAGTCCTCTGATCTCAGAGCAGCTTCATGAATAAACTGGCCCTAGAGGGACTGGGGTGACTTCTTTCTCACAGTAGGTTTTTGGAGCTAAGTCGGACTAGGGTGGTTCTCCTGGGTCACCACGGAAAGCGCTTAATGTATCCAACTGTTTTTTCCCTCGTAGAAAAAAACAAAAGGGATTAACCCTACAGAATTGCAGCTTGTGTAGAAAGTCCTCAGTTTTATCGGCCTTGGTTTACAAGTGGGTCTATCCAGGTTCTCGAAGGTATCTCAGCACACTTGTTATGAGTAGGGTGACTGCCCATTCAGGTTTGTGTCTGTTGTTCCTGGTTAATTTGTTAATAGCATGTCTCCCAGTTTGCTCTCAAAACTGTTTAAGTTTGGATGATACATTGCAAGGTCATCCTAGTTATAAGTAACATTGACAACTGGCTGAAAAAAGGTGACTCCAGGTCCTGGGAAGGGACAGAGGGACAAACATGTCTGTTGGCTGAACACACCCAGGTTGTGCTGGGCTGGCAGCTGGAGGGCCTGTGTCAGGACTGAGGGTGGGGCACGTGGGGAGGAAGCCCCGGTGCTTGAACCGCTTCCTGGAGAATAAGGTCTGGGTAAAACAGGAGTTTGGGCCGGCTCCTGTGCCGGCCTTGTGCCATCTTCCTGACTGCCGGTAGGAAGGCAGTGAAGGCACCTGAGTGTCGGGTTCCTTCCCTGGGAGACAGGGACTACAGCGTTTCCCTGCAAGGGCCTGGCCACTGTGACCCCATTATGTAGCGGAGGACCTAGAAGCTCGGAGGTGGCCAGCTGGGCTGATCAACGCTCATTGTAACAACCGCGGTCTATGAGCCAAGTACCCAAGCGGTCAGTGCACAACATCTGATTTCGAGATGAGAAAACCGATACTTGGAGAGAGAACTTGCACAAGGTCACACGACTCAGAAACGGCTAGGGAAAGGCTGCCTGGAGGAAGTCTGGTTCCGAGCCCGTGCTCGGACTGGGGGTGGGGTGGGGTGGGGGAGGTTGGGGGGAGGACACTGAGCTAAAGGAAGGATGCGGCCTGCATCCAGCCGCGCTCCTGGGACTCCATATCCAGTGCTCCGTCCTCACCCAGCACGGTCTGTCAGATCCCACAGTGGGAGAGCATCAACCACACAAAGGGCGGGGGAGAACTTGGAAAACCGGACGGTGCCCCGCAAAACGTGAACACTGGACCCCAGCAAGCCTTTAGGGGATGGTAACGAGTGTCCTTCCCCATCCAGTCCACAAAACAGGTCACCTTTGAGACTTGCTCCCTGGGCGGGGAGGACGCGTGGAGCTCCTGCCTGGCTGAGCGCTTACGTAAGGCCAACAGGCGGCTGCGCCCCATCTCCCCAGGGCGCGCGCAGAGCCCTGGCCGGGGCGGCCTCCCTATTGTCCCCCCGCCACCCCATGCCTCTCCCTGGGGACCACGGCAAGGCCCGGGACCACCGGCCCGGCCCCGGCATCCGGGGTGGGCGGCGGCGTCCTCCAGCAGCCGCCGGCTTCCCGGGGGAGGAGCAGCGCATCGCGCAAGCATCCGGGAGCGGCGAGGGGGCGGGGGAAGGCGAGAGGAGGAAGCGGGATTTAAACGAAAGGCGGTGACGCCACACAAAAGATTTCTATAGGCTCTAGGGACGCTGCGGCCGAGGCGGCGGCGGCGAGCGGGGGCGAGACCGGCCGGGACCAGGACAGCCTCCAGCAGCCCGGAGGACGGACGGCGCGCCCACGGCCGCGCTCCGAGGTGCAGCGCGGGGAGGAGGCGGCGTTTCCCTCTGCCTTTCGGCCCCCGCCCTTCCTTTCAGTTTCTCCGGCTCGCTCGGAAGTTGGAGGTTGACAAAAATGGCAGGAGCCGGGACCCGGGCGGGTGGCCGCAGCGCCGCGGGGACCTTCTGAGTTGGCCCGGCCGCCGGGGACACGCACGCTGGGCGTCCGATGCACAGGGCCCAGGGTCCCGGGAGAGCTGAGCCGTTGCGGGCCCGAGGCGAGGAGGCGCCGGGCATGGACTCGCGCCGACAGCCGGCGGCGGGCCGCGGGGCGCGCGGGGCCGGAGGGCGTGCCGCCCGGGCGCCGGGCCGCGCTCT